TCATCCAAATCGGAGAGGACGGCAAGCGCTACCCCAACCGCTTCGGATCAATCGCACTCAACGAGGTCGAGAGCCGCTACTCTCAGGCCAAGTTAGAACTCTACGGCCTCTTCCGCGCACTCCGCGCCGTGCGCATATACATCTTCGGCATTACCAACCTTACGGTTGAAGTTGATGCGAAGTATATCAAAGGTATGATCAATAATCCGGATTTGCAGCCTAACGCGACCATCAATCGATGGATCGCGGGCATTCTACTATTTTCATTCAAACTTGTCCACAGTTTCCGCGACTGAAGCACGCCGGCGTTGACGGTCTCTCAAGGAGACCGCGCGCAGACGAAGACCCAGATGAGGAAGACGATCACGAGGACTGGCTCGACCGCGCGTACTCCTTTGGAGTAGCGCTTATTAATGATCGGAACTCATATGATTGAAGCCGCTGGCACATCATACACCCGCGATCCGTACACCAGGCGCGACGCGCAAGTCACTAACCGAACTCCCGCACTCCTAATTTTCTTAGATACTATCTCCGCTCAACCCGATGAGCCCCCTATACCTCGTTCTGACGCAGCGCAAGCCATGGACGAGAAGATGCGCGAGTATCAGCGCTTCCTAGAAAGTCGCGAGAGACCCGCGGATCTCTCGGACGACGACTTCGACACCTTCGTCAATTCCGCGGCAAAATTTTTCGTCATGGAAGATAACCTATGGCGCAGAGAATCACATGGCCGGCACCAGCTAGTAGTAAGAGGAGAGCGGCGCTATCGAATTCTCAAAGAAGCGCACGACGACCTCGGGCACAAGGGTATTTATACCATCCGTACGCGCCTCCTCTTGCGCTTCTGGTGGCCGATGATAGTCGAAGACATCAAATGGTACGCGAAGACTTGCCACGAATGTCAAGTACGCCAGAACACCCGCCTACACATTCCGCCTATTGTACCCATCCCGGGCGGCTTGTTCCGCAAGGTACACATCGACTGCATGATGATGCCCAAAGCGGGCGGATTCGATCGTATAGTGCACGCGCGATGCGCACTTACTGCGTACCCTGAATGGCGCATGCTACGTAGGGAAACCGCGAAGACGTTGTCCGCGTTTATATTCGAAGAACTCCTCTGCAGATGGGGGCCCATCACCGAGATTGTAACCGACAATGGCCCCGCGTTTATCGCCGCCGTCGACTTACTCGCGGAAAAGTATGGGATTCACACGATCCGCATCTCCCCTTATAATTCTCAAGCTAACGGTATCATCGAGCGGCGGCACCTTGAAGTTCGCGAAGCGATCATAAAAGGTTGCCAGCACGATCTAACGCAGTGGCCGCAGATCGCGCACGCCGCATTTTGGGCAGAGCGCGTCAGCATCCAGAAGTCTACAGGCTTGTCGCCATATTTCATGGTTCACGGCATGGAGCCGATTTTTCCTTTTGACCTCGCAGAAGCTACTTTCCTCGTACCACTCCCGAGCAGGGGCGCGCTAACCTCCGCAGATCTTATTGCATGGCGCGCGCGCCAATTACAGAAGCGCGTGCAGGACCTAGACGCGATTAAAGGCGCTGTCCTGAACGCGAGGTACAAGTCTGTTCGCGACTTCGAACAGCGCTTCCGCGCGTCAATCAAGGATCACGACTTTCCAACAGGAAGTCTGGTTCTAGTCCGCAACTCAAAAGTCGAGTATGAGCTGAGCAAAAAGACGAAGCCACGGTACTTAGGTCCAATGGTTGTCCTTCGCCGGACGACCGGCGGATCGTATTTATTGGCTGAGTTGGACGGCGCGGTCTCGCGACTCCGATACGCGGCATTCCGCGTAATACCATATTTCCCGCGCAACGATGAGCGCATAGCTGTGACGGCCATCACGGGCCTTGACGATGAAGGCCTGGATCACTTAGCCGCAGAAGACGACGATGAGCCAGAAGAAGATGACCCCGAACGCGACTTCGGCGAATAACGCGCTCCCATCACCCCCTCCGCAATTATTCCCAACCCTCTTCCCGTATATAACCGCTCCGCAAGAATGCCCTCCAGAAAATATAATAAAGACATCGAAAACAACGAATACCGCCATAGAAGAAAATAACAAAAACACCCCGCATCTATTTCCCTCTCTCAGTTTTACCCCGGGTTTCGGCCGGCGCTCTCAGTTTCTCCTTTCCAGACTCATAATACCGCGCGCCGCGCTGAACATATCTTCCGCAGACCCTATATACATTCCGCACGATCCCCGCAACAAGAACATAACAAATCAGATAAGTACATACTATGAATCTAACGCGCGCATAATCAACCATAGACATTTCCCCTTCTAACGCACGCCCGCGCCGCGCACATTTTAATATATATACCCTGCCGCTAATCATTAGAGCGTGGCAACCCAAGGAAGGAATAGAAGCCGACAGTACGCCTGATGAACGCAAGCCGAGCGCGAACCTCGCACAAACCCGCCGCCAGTTCCAAGTTTTCTCTATGTTCCATGCGTTCAAATACTTAAATTTTTCTCTTATCTCATCCTTAGGCCCAGCGGACCGGACTCAAACTCAGACACAGACATGGGGGACACGGATATCTATTATGCGCGTATGCGCAGGGAAACAGAGTCAAATCTATAGTACAGGCGCGCTTTGGCACCAATTCAGCAATCAAGTATAGTACAAGCGCATTGGCGCTATGAATCCAGAGTCCACAAGCGGAAGAACCGCGCATTATGCTATCAAGTATCTAAAGGAACTCCGCCAGTTCCTCATCCTCCTTCCACTCCCGCGACATAGAATATAACCGGCTGCTCTGTGCAGCCATCTCAGCCTGCTGGATGCGGGAACGCTCTCCAACGCGGCGAAGAAGCTCGCGGAGACGCGCATTCTCAGAGCGCAGACGCTCCAACTCCCCACCTTCCTCATATCGATCCAAGGACTCCTCCGCGCGACGCTTCTTAGGGCCGGAAAGGATAGGGTTGATAGCCCTGGTCGGCCTAGCAGGCAAGGCAGAGAGGCCCGGAGCAGGAACGGGCTCAGGAACTGACATCTCCTCGGACTCCAACCCCAACTCATTCCCGCTATCAAGCTCCATCACCTCCTGACGCGAAGACGCGGTGCGAGGACCAGACTCTGCGGTAGGCGCACGCGAGGACGCGGGTGCAGCCTTCTGAACGCGACGCTTAGGGGGCGCCCTTGCAGCTCCTAAGGAAACTCGTTAACATAGGAAACGGTACGCGGAAACAAAACAACTTACCTCTCTTGAAAGAGCATTGCTGGTGCGCCTTCGCGCAAGTATCACAGCGCACGCCGGGGCTGCCATCACACTCCCTACCCAACTTGGTGCACCGCTCACACTTCTCTCCCAAAGGCGCCCGACCAGTCATGCGCCCGGTAGGCAACTGATGTGAAAATCGCGCCAAGTCAGAATCCGCACCAACCCGAAAACGGACACTACGCACCGGAGCACCCATATCAGTCTGCGCACCCGCCTTCTTGGAGGACGGAACCAACACCTCCATCTTCTTCTTCTGCGCGGCAGGAGGCCGCGCAGTCACAACTTCTTCCGCTTGAGCAGCGGCCTTCTCCTTGATAAGGCGGATCGCGCCTTCGAAATTCTTGTAGGCCTTGCGGCCAGCCGTCATCAAGACGTGCTCCTCATCGTCGAGATCGAGCTCGACCTGCAAATGCCGGGCAGTGTCGCCGGCAGCCATAACACGAGTCTACGATAATCAGCATCAACCACACAAGGCGAAGAGACCGAGGACACTCACCATAAACCCATTCCAACTTCGCATCCAGGTCTCCTGATCCTCCATCAACTCCTCTTTATCATCCGGCATTACGCGAACGAGCGTGTCCAAGACTTCGCGAAGCGCGGTCCATTCGCGACGAAGAACGTCGGCCTCGGTTTCGATCGGCTCAGGTTCCTGAGCAGGAGACGCGACGACAGGAGACGCAGCACGCGACGGCGGCGGCGAGTCGGCAAGCGAGTCGAATAAGAAAGGCGCCATGGTATAGAAGAGAGTATAGATGGGCAGAACAACGCGTGATGTAGATGGATAAGAAGAAGAAGAAGAAGAAACGGAAGCACGCGTCCACTCACTTTTTCAAGCGCCGAATTCCCGATATAGAAAACAAAGCCACGACGCGTCCACACACGTGACTCGTGCTTTTCCGGCGCCGGCACACACACACTCGCCGATACCGGCACGCACGTGACATAATCGTCAGAAATTTCGCTAAGTCCATTCCGCGTCTAGAGGACTGACTGCGGACAGTCAGTTTAAGAGTACCCCGCAGGTGTAGGGAGTAATATCCCTACAGGCTCGTATCCCCTGATATATACATCGACCTCATCACTATCCTCATGTATGCGCAGTCCAATAGAGTCGCGCGCAACACGCGCGACCTTCCGCGCTCTTCCGCGACGCATGCAACCTTCCGCGCCCTTCCGCAGACCGGCGCTATCCTCGGCATATCCTCCCATGTCCTGTCCTGTCTGTCCGGTACCGTTGGTGCGTACTCTCACTGTCATCTCCGTCTCTGACCACATCCAGGGTCTTTTACATAGTGTTACATACTTATCCGCTTCCTTGCGCGCTTCCGCGCAGCCTATCCGCTTCCCTTACGTCTCAATACCCTGAGAGCTCGCGTAGCGACCTACATATCTAGAAGACTCAGAGGATTTCGGACTTACTTACTTTTTCCCTTACTTGGACTGACTATCAGTTTCCTGTCTACTCGCGCTTAGAGCGCTAATATCATTGCTGTCATTGTCTATCATCTTCTTTGTCTTGTGAAGTCTCGTTCCTCATCCAAAGGGAGCTCCTACGATCCTCTGCAACTCTTCTCCCATCGCGCACGTACCGCGTGCTTTCCGACCCTTCCGCACGGCTCGCGCTTTCCGCGCGTTCATCACATCAGCCTCGCGCGTTCCCGTGCGCCTTCGCGCACCTTCCGACTTGAGCCTTTCTCTTGATCCCTCTCATTATTTAGAGAGATTGACTCAGTAGCATCCCCTAAGGGACGATTCTACTAGCTCGCCTCTCGAGGTAGATATTCTTGTGACTCTCCGGAGTTTGCATTCCTATTTCCTCACCCACAACGGGGACACGCGAAGCCATGAGGTTTTCAAGGGCGTCTGTTGTGACAGTTTTGACAGTGAGGGAGTTATTCTTGAGGGCATCTGCAAGGACGCGCCGCTCGTGGATAGAGAGGTCGTGTATGCCCTTGCTCTTCGCGAGTGTTGCACGTCTTTCACCGGGCATTAGTATGTTTTCCGGGTAGTTTTCAAGGATATAGCCACGACGGGCTAGGATGGCGGGTAACGTTTTCCAGGGAAAGTTGCCCCCTCGTCCTTCGAGTGGTCCTGTAACATATTTAGCTATTCTACCTGTGATCTGACGAGCACACTTACCGAGAAGTCCTGTCAGCCCCCCAATAATGCAAGGTATACCGTCAAGCAGCCTCCATCCATCAGGAATACCGATCCGTCGTCTCTCTAACCACTTGTCCAGCACTTCCTGCGCTTGCACCCTGTGCCGCGATGCGATACGTTCGAGAACGCAATCAAGTTGCGTGAAATCCATTGATGCAACAAATATATGGTGAGAGGGAGGAGTGTAGAAGAAAAATATCAATAACTTACACATTGAGATGAGGTGCGCCCTCATCGATAATCAATAGAAGCGATAAAGTCGTTGAAGCTGATGTGTGCCGATAATCGATAGAAGTGTTGGCATGCGAAGTGCCATTATATGATATGTGCGCTCTGCCCATTCGGAGGGCTTATGGCGATGTGGTGGTGGCGTCATTTATCATTAGCAAGGTCCTTGTGGGAGTCTTGAGTTCGATTCCTCAATAGCGTTTTTTTTTCGTGTCTTAATTGATAATCAGTCAATTTAACATAACCAAAAATTGGGGGACAAAAACTTAGGAGGCAGCATGTAACATTCATCAGGTGCGAACACGAAAACAACAACACAATATATTCAGGAGGAGGTACTACATCCACTCTGAGGCGAAGCATGAGGTAACAAAATGACAGTCACTATACTAAAAAGGCGAGAGGCACGGACACCAAAATTAAAAGGCGAGAGAGAAATGTTAGTCAAAAAACCAAAAAAGCACATGAAAAAAGGTATCAGCGGCGGTCTGGCCATCTACTAGGATCTCCATAGTACCTCCGGTCATGACTGCGCACATCTTGATAGTAGGAGTCTGATGGATATCTGCGGTCATCATAGTGGTCGTCGTATCCTTCAGCAGGTGAGTCGTAGCGAGCAAGATAACCTGGATGGTTGTATCCCATGGGTGCACGACCATACCGAGCTTCTTCGGGATTACGGGTGCGTGAAAGGCCGTGGGGATTGAGGACGCCAGTAGGATGAGGATGGGTGCGAGGGAGACCATTCCGATCATAGGGTGTGTCGTGCGCATCACGATAGTGAGGAACATCGTGTGGGTAGGAGGGTCCATCGCGAGGGTGCATAGAGGGATCACGAGGGTACACAGAGGGATCGTGAGGGTGCACGGAGGGATCGCGAGGGTGCACAGAAGGATCGCGAGGGTGCACGGTGGGATCACGCGGGTGCATGGAGGATTCACGCGGGTGCACAGAGGGATCACGCGGGTGCACGGAGGGATCGCGAGGGTGCACAGAGGGATCACGAGAGTGCACAGAGGGATCACGAGAGTGCACGGAGGGATCACAATGAAGCAGAGGCTCTCGCAATGGCACAGATGGCTCACGAGGATGACTGGGAAGCTCGTGCATGTCACGGTGTAAAGGAGCCTCGCGTAGGATGGGACCCTCGCGTGGGATGAGAACATTGTGTGGAAGCAGTGGAGAACGTGCATAGTGGTTCAAGTTGGCCCCCTCGATATGAGGATCAATCTGAAGCGGAGCCGGACGTGAAGATGGACGGTTGATGAATTGAGCTTGGGGGGTGCCGTTCTCCTCATTGTCAGGTATGGAAGGAGAAGACGTGGGCTGGAGTATACCGTTCGAGGGTGGGGGTTGCTCAGAGCTCTCAGGTTGTGAAGCCACACTGGGAGTGACTTCCACATTGTCCTGCGGCGAAAACTCGACCTCTGTAGTAGCAGCCGGTGCGATTGGGGTAGGGTTCACTGACCGAGCTGCAGCATCGATCTTGGGGTCGTCTACGAGCATGGCAGCACCTTTTCCAGCATCTGCTGTGGCCTCCGAGTGCATTCGACCTGGAGCATCCTCCTCCTCTTCTGAATCGAGTGTATACATCCTCTGGTGTACGTGGTGCATGACTGCCCGGGATTCCTTTGTCACATGTTTCGGTTTCGGGGGCGCTGTAGGAACCAAGTCAACAATATATAGATCCAAAAACATAGATGCGTACCCTTGGATTTCGCATGCACTGTGGAAGGACCGTCCCGGAGGCGAATTACAGGTCGAGCTGGCTGGGCAGCTGAATAAGATGGTTAGTGAGGAAACACAGATGCACACATGTAGCACAAACCTTCGTTGCCAGATGAGAGTTCGTCGTCAAGTGAAGAAGACCCCACAGTGAACGGTGACAGTGGACCCCCCTTCAATGGAGAGGCATCGGAAGGTGATGGCTTCAGCGGTTTTGCCTTGGAACGCACACGTTCCTTCTTCGGTTCGATGGCAATAACTTCCGAGGAAGCACACTTCTTGGACGCCCGAGAAGTACGTCCTGACTTTAATTTCCGTTTCTTCCCGCGTGAATCATCTTCATATTCTGTGTCCAGCTCCTCTGTGTCCTTCGAGCTGTCTGAAGCTGAAGTGAGTTCGATGACCTCCTCCATGGCAGCCTTAGGAGCTATTGGCACAGCTGGATTAGCAACAACATGAAAGGGACGAGCAGGAGGGGGAGTTTGTGGCTTAGCAATGGGCTTAGCAACGACCTTAAATGGACGCGCAGGAGGGCGAGGAGACATGACCGGCTCTTGGTGCTTGGGATCACGAGCTTTTGAGGTGTTCTTTCCCTTCTTGACTCTGGTCTGTGCGACACTTGTCTCCACACGCTGTGGGCCACTATAATCGGTATGTCGATCAGCAAACATGCGACGAGCACATGAGTGCTCCCAGGTGGATGGAGGAGCCTCCCCGATGATAACCGGCTTTTTTGATTCGATCAAGGACGCTATGAAAACGTTGTGTAAATCGGACGACCAAATAGAGACAAAACTTACTGTGTGTATGGGAAGACTTGACCACCCGCATAGTGCCGGCCTTGTAAGCATCAACAAGCGCTGCAACCTCTTTGTACGTCAATACACCTATCCCCTTGTTATTTTTGGGCGTCGGACCATGAGATTCACCCGGCATGAGGCACTTGTGGGCGGGGTACCCTTCGATGTTCAGGCCGCCAGCGGCTAAGGCGCTGGGCATCGTTTTCCAAGGGAAATTCTTATCAGATGCAAACTTCCCGCCAAGTTCAGCTATACGAGAACGTCAGGCTGAACCGAAGAAAAAACAGAATAGCTACTTACTGACTCGTTTTGCGATTTCTTTCTTGAACCACCGGAGAGATTCTTCGCGACCCTCAACTTCAGTCGAAGGAATCACGTCAGCATCCTTGGAAGAGGCTTCATCATCATCTTCGGGCAAGTCGTCGAAGGCACCTTCTACCACTGCCAGTGAGGTTTTATTACTGTTTTGAAGATGAATAAGAAAGAGATAATGGTAGGACACAGATTGAGACTTACTAGACATGAGCTTTGAGGTGACCAATGATGGTGTCATCATCAGCTCGGCATCGCATACTCCAGAACTAGCAGACCGGCATTAGCGATCTCAGTATTGAATATCACTCTCTAGATACTTACCTCTGCAGCGCCTGGTGTAGTGTGAACTTGACCGAGGGAGGCATCTTGATTGACAATTTTTCCACAGACGACCATCGCGGTCTCAAACCCGAATTTAGCGGCAGCGCCATCAGCCTATAATGAAAGACGGTCAGGGAACAGCAAGCAGTGAAGCGCCAAGGAAGTATACTTACAATACTAAACATCCGTCGGTAGTATTTTTGAAACTCTTGTCCGCGCTGAGAGATTGTTTGAGGGGAGGCGGATAGCATCTTCACCTCGTCGTAGACGGAGAGAATGTCTTTGTATTTGTCTGGAAAGGCCTCTTTGAAGAGGTCATAGCATTTCGTCCGAATCGACATACCTAACATGCACGATGGAACCGTAAGTACCACATCAACATATAGGATCGGAACTTACCCGGAGAGCCTCCGTCTGCAGGAACTTGAAGGCCAACTCGTGCAAGTTCTTGCTCGGTATGATCCTTGAAGTAACTGCGAGCATATATATTCCAGAAGTTAGTGTTGACTGTGGTCCGACCTCGACTTTTCAAGAACCAGTTGATGACTTGCTGCACAGGAATTGATGTCGACCCTGCGAGCTCAAGGAACGATTGCTCGATCTCGACGAAACCAGCTTCGAGAGTCGCACTGGTGTCGGCAGACTTCCGTCCAGTGACAAATGACTGGCCTGACGTCGAGGCAGGCGCATCTTTGCTGTCCTGAGGATCAGAAAACAAGTCATTGACATTTCCGGTGTCGACGGAAGCACCACGCCCATGTGGGGAGGGACGAGGGGGAGGGCCAGAAAGGTTGTAACTGCTGCCAGCATCCTTCAGCGGTGTTGGAGGGATGACATTGGTAAGTATAGGTGCAATCTGGCTAGAACTTCCTGCGACACTCTGAGGCGCCATAAACTCGCGAGAGGGTGCATGCATTTGGCTAGAACTTCCTGCGACACTCTGAGGCGCCAGAAGCTCACGAGAGGGTGCATGGGAGGAGGATGGCTGGTTAGCGAAATCCGGGCCGACATCAGAAGACATAAAATGTTCCTGCGTCTCCATGAGTAGCGCCATGAACGATGCATCATCCATCACTCCAAAGGAATCTGGTTGCTGGGGCAGCCACCCGTCGGGTTGTGCCTCCATTGGATTGTAAAACATATCCTGTAGAGGTGCAGGACGTGGAGGATCGGGATCATGGAGACACGGTGATGGGTGTCGAATATTGCCCTGAGGCTGAGTGGACGATGCATTGCCTCCCACAACACTGTTATCGTGAATAGGATGTACAGGTGCAGGTTCTGGGTGTGCTGAGGGACTGGTTAGAGCGTCTGGGGGGAACGGGTTTGCCTGACGCCGTATTGCAGCCTCTTTAACTATACCAACGTCGCGCTGTGTGGCCTTAATCCGACTCCTTAGCCTGGTAGGAGTTAATTTCGCTGGGGGAGACTTGGGACGACGCCCTCCACCGTACTGTTCCTGAATACAATCCCCGCCAGGAGGAAGACGCATAGATTGGGACGATGTGTGAGGGGGTGGGGCATTTGGGTCGAGGGGGAATGAGTATTCGTTGTACGATTGGGTCATGGCTGCAGTATTGTCCGGTCAAATTTTTAAGAAGGTGAAGGGGGGGGAACAACAGTGCCTACCGCGGCCTTAAGACCACACATTTTAAGTTTATCTCAAGGAGTTTAAATTCCTGCATGCATAGAATCATTCCATTGAGATGCATGCCATACTAAAGTCAGAATAATACCAGCAGACATTTGAAATAGGGACGCACTTATGCTATAACGGATGCACGCAGACAGTGGCTCAGGGGCAGAAGTGCCATGACAAGTGATCTGCAGGCGAGTAGGAAATTTAAGACCAATCACAATACTCAAACATGTCATACTACTTACTTTGGTTTAGCATACAAAACAACCCAGAGGATATTGGAACAATTGAAAATTTGACCCACACATAAATGCTGTAATGGAATGTCAGAGGCTCGCGAGGGTGATGTTGAGGGTGATGAGTTGATGGCTGCAGCACTGAACATCGGGAGCCTCTGAGTGTGTTTAGAACCAATCACATTGCAGAAACAATTCGTGCTACATTTGAAAGTCAAATACAACACCTCACAGTGCTCCAACATTGTTTGAAACGAGCTCGGATGACTCCCATGGAGTGCCCTGTCAGCCCGGTATAAGAAACCCAAGGAGTATGGGCAGCGGAAGATGCTGCACTACAACCAGTAGCATTTATGTGCAATGTTGTAAGCACTTCACGTTGCTTTATTGTCCTCTATACTGAACATCGATGGGTCGCAGAGCAAAATACTTTACACTTGAGGAGAAAAACGCTGCCTTGCGCAAACAGAAGGCTGCATACTCGAGGACAGAACAGTGACTCTCTCCACTGATCTTTCTGTGTTCAACTTGTGCTGATTGTTTAACAAACTACAGGGGAAAAGCTGCTCGACGGATTCAAAACGCTCGTGCTAATGCCAAACTCCGTGGACGGAAGAGGACTACTGCTGGATCCCTCAGTAATTCAAAACCACTTCCCCAGTCTCTCATCACACTAGCAGCACTTCCCCTCCCTGACTCGTTTCTGTTTCATCAGACATGTTCCGGGTCGGAGTTGATCGACTGAATCTGATATACTCCAGTGGGACAAACCACCACCATACGATTCACCTCCTCCTCCAAACTCCCCACACGAGGATCGATTTACTCGCAATCTTGCAGACAGTCATGCATGGCAGACAGCGCCGTTTGGAAAAAGAGGCCCAGGAACGCTATGCTCAAATGTTTGCAGCGGCAAATGTCGAAGTCATCCTGCAGGAAATTCAGGCAGCGGAAGAGAAGTTTAATGAGTAACTGGAATGAGCTCAATAAGTACTGTATCGCGCATGCAGGGTTGTGAAAGACACAGAGTGATGGCAGAGTGTTATGTGCAGTGGCAGGCGAGGAGGATATTCAACTATCGTCGGGAGGCAGACTTGATCATTCGTGGCCAGAATCCATACAGTGTAGCTGTATGCGCGCATATATTACACATGATATAGCTATAATCTAGAAGCACAGGTATAGAAAGAACGAGAGCTCGTAGATGATGCCGAAGGTGGCACATATCATCCTCATGGAGTCCTGTGACATGATGTCCTCGTAAGAGAGCAGCAATTGACCGCCAATACCCACTACTCCACAGTCATAGCTGTTGGTCTGGACAGGCGTGATCTCGAAAGAGAGTTCAGATGTATGTACCGAAAGACTCGAGATCGCTACTCACTTTCAATGGTCGCGCTGTCCATCCTGTCAAGTTCTGTTGCTGACATGATGACGCCAGTTGACGTGCAATGGCAAGGAGACGAGCGATCAGCTTCATGACTGTCCTTAGCAGTATATGAGCCCTCGGCATACAATCCTCGACTATAAGTATACTTACCTTGAACATCATTTTTCCAAGGTTTTTTCTCAGCTAGACTATCGAAGAGGTGCAACTCTTTGCTGGAGAGGCGAATAACGCATAAGACCCAATGACCTAATATTAGAGGGACGATGGATAGGAAGAATCCAGACATTCTTTCTCCCAGTAACGCGTGTATGATACATTACGCCACAGAATGTCATCTGATGCATTATATCGAATCCGAGGGAGGTCGTGGGACGTCAACACAGCGCAACGGCCAGTGACGACACTTTTCAGTTTAGAAAACAGCAAAATGGCGCACCCGTTGATACAAGTATCGTTAAGACATGCGGTTGGTGAGGCGAGCAAAGCGATGTCTTTCGGTTCGAAGATTTGAGGAGGGTATCCTTCTCGTGAAGGGTGATTCCTTTCGGCGACTATGCCTGGGACGATGGTGTGCTCCTCCTTACGTGGGACGTAGGTGCGATCTATTAGTGTAGGCTAAAAACTGATTAACATTTAAACGATTCCTAAAGACGAACTGACTCACCTCGGGAGCCTCCCACACGATGAGGGCATGAGCGTCATTGACATAATCCATCGAATCGAATCCAACCTCCTCTCTGCCCAAATCACCCTCAAGAATGTCAGCGAGAGCCGCATGCTCAGATTCAACTACTGGCAGGTCATGAGGCTCGGCAAACTCTGCGTCGTTGAGTTCTCCCTCAGGATCGGGTACTTCCAGTAATGTAGTGCTGAGCCAACGCATGTTCGGCATTTGAGCGCTACCTGAAAGGGTGACGGCAATCTCCAGCGCATCCTTGGCACGAGACGCGAAGTGAAGCGCAGAGGCTAATGGGTTCGCCCAGCGGGTTTGAAGTCTGAGTAATTGGTTGCGGCGCTGTCTCAGCAAGACAGATATAAGTTCGCCTGTCTATGGATTAAAAACGAATTCCCATGGTAATAAGGAGGAGAAACCTACATCCTGGTGTACGGAGTGCAAGCTCGAGGGCAGCAAGTTCTTCCCCAAAGAAACGGCAGAGGTTATCCGCCTCGATACCAAGTCGCTTCTGTTCTTCTCGGCAGCGCTCGCGTTTCAGAAGTGCACGAATGCCGTCTCTAACGTCAGCATCTTCTAACCATCGAGGGACTTGTCCCGTTGATGGCGTAATCCAGACGTCTTCCATTAGATGGGGATCACTGCGTAGCTCTGCGAGTTTGGTCGGGAGAGGACTAGGTAAAGGAATACCCCAAGAAGGGTCATATAATGCTTCTAACCGCTCACAGTAAGTATTGAACTTCCTGAGCGCAGTCAAGAGGGCTGGTTGGCGTTTCGCAATCGCTTTTCGGGTTTGTTGATGTAGTTTGGTACCTGAATGACATTAGTCGATAACAAACCACGTGTATGAATGATTTACCTAACGCCTGCTGAGCGCCACCGACCGCACGGTCCAACTTATCCCACTCAAAAAAACTCGCGATTGCCCGTTTACGGATGTTCATTTTCAAGTCACGCGCCATCAGAAGAAGCCGAACAAAGTCCAAATTGATACCTTCGAGTTCGGGAAATTGGTCGTGAATATTGAGGGATGCGTATAAAATTTCGACTTTCCCCATAAGGCGTTCATGGCCTTTCTCGAGAGCCTCGAGAGTGTCTTGCGAGGCAGCTCCTTTCTCAAGCATGAGCCTGGTGGATTGTAGTGCGGTATCGGAGATATCGAGATCCGCCTGCAGGGTCAAAACAGTATCTAACTCCTTTTTAAGGCGAGCAGGGGCGTCTATCAACAAATTTAACTGGTAGTGTATTCAATATAAACTAAAATCACTTACGTGCGCGGACAGAGAGCTGCGAGCTTCGTTGTTGAGACCATTCTGACTCCAGATCCTCGACAGAAAGTTCGCACCGATCTAGAACATCTTGAGCAGCAGTTCCTTGGTCGTGAATACCACGCTTCAGGCGTCGTCGTATCCAATCACCTAAGTCGGATTGCATTTCGGATCCTATAGCCGCAGCCTGACGGTCGATCAGCCACAAACGGCGCTGACGCTGACGTTATGCAATAAGACTTGAATCAGTGGAGAAAATGAAGAAGCGCACCGATGATGACCGTTCAATGCCGATTAGGCGCACAAAGCGAGACCACAGCCTCTCGGTCCCTTCGCCATCTGAAAGACCGAGCCCAATGCACATTCGTGGGTTGTGCACTAGCTGACACGCCCACTCATGCCCATAGGCATGCATGGCAGTGGTTGCCAAGCGCAAACGTGAAACGATACTGCCAGGGAGAATGTCGTACTACAAATGATGAGCGAATAAATCTTAATGTAGACTAGGTGAACTTACCTTGCTAAGGGATCGGGCAAGGACACATCCGACGTCGTACAAAGCTACGACCGTAGCGTAAGGTGGGATCAACGAGAACAAATGTTCTAGGAGCGCGACTGAGTATTTTTGCTGTTCTCCTGGAGAATCAATATTAGCAAAAAACAGAGGGATGTCATGACGACATATGAGCGCCATGATACCAGTATCATCAAAACTATCCATTGCCGGCTTTTGTTTTTTGCCGTCGGCTGCTTCGTAAGCTGTTTCGCACTGGTCGATAGCCTCGTCGGGAACAAGGGGTACAGGTGATTTGGCAGGCCTCTTACGTTGAGCCTCGATGCGGCGCCCAACATCATCAATGTACTCTTTCGAAAGGAAATAAGTAGGATTGTAAAAGCAGGGGCAATCCCCCGCTGCGCGCCGATGGCGGTGGTGAAAGTTGCCGTCTGTGGCAGTGTGAATATCTCCTCCTTCAGCGGTAGGTTTCCCAAACATCGTCCCACCGAAACATGCTGGACACCTTTGAATCAGTATGGGTGCGCACCGACCTCTACGTAGGGTAGACAAAGGTATCGAGGTTGAGACGTGATCCTCCGTTTGAGAACGAAGGGCCGCCACCCGGTCACGGCTATTCTGCAGGGCTTCTTCGACTTGATGTTCTATTCGGACTTGAAGAATGTCGTACCATTGTACGGCATGGCCCAGGCCTCGACGAAAAGGATCCTGTATAATTTCCCCCTTGCGCAACAAATCAGCCCAGACAAACGCCATCACGAAATGCTTACTCGGGCGTCTGTCATGACGAAACCTCTGCGAGAGTAGTGGGTCTTGAGAGCCGACGCTAAGGCATTAATGGCATCACAAGACCGTTCGAAAAGTGCCCGATAGAACGATAGTAGTTCGACGGAGACAGCCATACGAGGCTGGGAGGGAGCAGTCGGAAACAGCCATACGAGGCTGGGAGGGAGCAGTCGGAAACAGCCCGTGGTGAAGTAGAACTTGAGGGAGGGTGGAACATTTGCAACTGAGGACGTCGATAGACATAAATCCTAAATGTTCGTTCATCAACATAGCGTAGAATCGAAAATGAGAAAACTTACTGTCGAAAAACAGACACGCGATTGATGTGCGCTTTTGAGGACACGAAAGCGTGGCGCATGCCGAGATAACATTGGGGGTGATGTCCAGTGCTGTCGCTAACGTTCGCTCAGAATATTTGAGGTGAGGTTCGGCGAGGGAGGGTATTAGTGTTTGCCAGCTGCTGTATAACGAATCAGTGGCCTTATCAGGCAAAATGCGACGTTTAGTTTGAGACTCTTCTGCGGGTACGTCGAAGGGGGGTTCTGATGAGATTTCGAAGTCTGGATCAGGAATGTGAATGTCGGCGAAGGCATCAGCCTGAGAGACGGTTTCGACTGCAGCGCGAACTTCAGTCTGTTTGGGCTCTGGTCCCATCAGTTGGTGCATATGAGCTTGCAGTTGACGGCGTTTGGCTTGCACGCCAGGTAACTCGACATGTTTCTGAGTTTTCTTCTTGTCCCTGGGTTTCTTTGGGCTGACAAAATGTTGACCTAGTCCAGAGGATACCCATTGCGCTCCACGAGTAGGAGCGGGAACGCTGGTTGAGACCATGGTGAAAGAGAGAGTGTGAGGCACAAAACTAACACTCACTAGCACACCACAAACTTAACTTAGCGGGCAAAATATAGATATGAGAGCGGATTCCTGTGGCACGAAGGCCCCAAGAGCATATAGAGAGCATCCTGCTCAAGGCACGCGAGGTGTGCTGGAGGTGCGCGATAAGGAATGGAGGGTAGGTTCAGGCGGCACGAGCGCCACGCGTGCCACGCCAGGGGGTGCTGGATATAATGTAAGAGGCACGTTATTAATAGAACGGCGGGAGGGTGCACCTCAGAGGTAAGTTTCCCACAACATAAAAACCCTACCTCAAAGGTCTCTATTGCTACCGATAAGTAATGCCTGAGGTGGACCGTTTTATTTGTCCAAATTTGGCGCATACGTAATCCTTCCTTGGACCACCAAATGTCCAGAAATGTCCCTACTCTTACATCCAACTTCTGTGGTTGGACATCCCAGACCTCAAGCGGCCAATTAGCCACCACCTTGCCACCACACCGCTTTTGACTGGATGGCGAGCTTCTTAAAATCTGTCGAGAATCGAACTGAGCCAAAGCTGATTTCATTTTTGAAAAACCAAATCCACATCCAAATCGGCATCAAGATACAGCTTCGAACTCCCTTGATAATTGTCTGACAAATTCCAGACAATGGATATAGTTGGATTGGACAGGCCAAAGTTGCGGCAAGCTGTCACGGTCCATCGCCCACAGGGCCTAGTGGGTCCAGTGCACAATAAAATTTTCCATTCGTCCACAGCCAAAACGCCATATAAGAAGCAAGGTTGTTCCCTGTTGTTTTACTCATCTTGGTTTCAAGTTTCTATCTCCCCTCCATCGATTGCTACTGTATTTTCTCGCGGTACTACTCGTCTCATAGATCCCTTCCAGTTCTTACACTTCCAAAGACCAACCATTATCATGGGAAACAGACCATCCAAGTCGCGATCGCAGTCTACCGCTAGGGCCCAATTTGGGGACTTCAGTGTTGAGAATGTAAAGGGCAGCAAATCATCTCTCGCTGGGAACACCAGTGGCAACGACCAATCAGCGCCACCACCATACACTACCTCTGCCACATCACCAGCTTCCGTGTCCTCCGAAAATGACACCGAAGGTATTTTATTCCCTTAAAAATGTCGCCACACCAATTTTAATTTACGATCTCATAACCAGCTTCGCAAGCGGAGGCCCGAGCAGCGTACCTCCGCCAGCCTCTGCGAGCAGAATCGATGGAGGATGCGCTCGAGACGCTCCGCCAATATGACACGATTATCATCATGGATGATTCCTCGTCGATGCGTGGCTCACTATGGAAGGAGGTGTGATACTTGTTATATTCCTTGTCGATGGTGCTGAAATTCCCATGTCCAGGCAAAACAGGCTCTCGCCGAACTGGTTGAAGTCGCAAGCCAATATGATGCCAATGGTGTTGACATTTATTTCTTGAACCACTATGGAAGCATGACAGAAGTTACGGTGGGTATCATTTTACATGTCACGAATTGGTACTGATCAGGCTTTGTAGGACCCCAAAGTTGTCCATGAAAAATTCGCTAACCTCAAGCCCAACGGCGCCACCCCTATTGGGCATCGCCTCGAAGCAATCCTCGGGCATTATTTCCGTGACCTGGACGTTGCTAAAAGACAGGAGGATGCTGGTGACTATCTTGCACGCAAGAAAATCAAGCCCGTGAACATGGTCATTATCACTGATGGGCAGCCAAGTAAGTCTGTGCGACACATAATAGCTGACTGTGCTGATCCAGGTTGTTCTGGTTCACGTAGCGGACGATCCCGAAAGTGTGATCGTCTCTTTTGCTAAGCGACTTGATGTCGATAAGTGGCCACTTGCACAGGTAACTACACATGGTTTATTTACTACACTCGTTTCCGACAAAGGTTTTCTGTAGGTGGGGATACAGTTCGTTCAGATAGGGAATTCGAAGGGCGCAACAAAGTTCCTCGTAGAGTTGGATGATAATTTGAACCAAAAGCATAAGATACGGGTATGCCACAGCCTTTCATCAAGGCATTCTTTACTAAAAACACTGTCAGGACATCGTCGACACAACTCCATATATGGGCGAAGTTAATGCTGAGATGCTCATCAAGGTTCTCCTCGGTGGCATCAATCGCCGCGTGGATAAGCAGGGTGCTGCTGCGGTCATGTAATAGGGTTGTATTGAATTGCAACGTGGCCAGGCGCTGCTAGACATTCCATCGTATTTGGAGCTCAGTGTTTGTTGTTAGCCCTGTAGTTCACGAAAAAGTCCTGTAACAAATACTATATTGTCCACCATGATAACATTGCCCTGCGAACCACACGCACAACACCATCCAGTTCAGATGGCAGTTTAGCCAGATGATTCGGGAGATCGCCCTCGCATCTCATCACTGAGGCAGCAAGGGAGAACGAAGGCTCAGGTGCATCGCCCGCTATCTCGTCGTCGTCGTCGTCGTCGTCATCACTTTCATCGTCTGAGATGATCTCGGCGCAGAGAACCCAATGGTGTCTCGACGAAGCCGTCTCTGGCTACGGCTTCGGTGGCGCTTAATGACGATTATAGAGAGCCGTGGTACATCATTGGTATTGTCACCACGAGACGAAAATATTGCTGAAATGCAGACACATGTCAAGTGCTGATAAACCACCCGGTAGAGGGAAGAAGTCTAAAATAGTTGTCAGCGCGACCAGCAAGTCATGAACAAAAAAGACACACTTCAGGCTGAAGCAGACAACCGCACTGGACGGTGAGTTAACCGCGGTGAACAAGGATACCTCGATCCATCCAATATTCCTACGGCCACTGGAGGCTGCAGGAGTAATGCCCTCATGCGGTGCTGCAAAGATCTCGGAATAGCAAGTGAGCTTTGTTGAGCGTTCATCGTGGATGTTTCACCTCGGTCATTCAATCTGAATACGCGTATTGCGTAGAAGTGTTTGCAGAGCACGTCCCACGAAAAAGAAGTTTGTAATGTTCTAAACAACATTGCTCTGGCTTGCTGATGGGAACATCTTTAGGAAGAAGTTGTGGAGGCGTAAGGACCAGTCAAAGTTTGATTACCCCTGAAAAGAGTAGACCCACACTATCACATTCTTAATACTAATAGCATTCCCTTTGCTAGCACTGGCGAGTTAGTCATGTTTGTCGTACGTGCACTACGAAAGCAAGACACAGGTCAGCAGCGTCAGAACGATAGGTAAGTGGCACCACCCGCCACTCAGCAATAAGTCAGCAGTAAAATTCCCGTCAACAGCTCGGCGTTACAAGAGTCACAATCAAGTGTCCAAAGAAAGATGGTGTAGGGGAATGAGAACGCCCTGTTAGGTCTGCAAACGAACCGGAGACTCGAATAATGGACAGTGCCGGGTCTATGTCATAAATAGTGTAGCATGTGCATCGCTAGCGGTGGCGAGTTGGATTGGTTTCCGGTACATTCGGAAAACCTTCGTCGAATTCACCAATGCCAGAACGACAACCTGAAGCGTGGGCGACCACCTGAATACGTTAAGTGAGCATTAGGGTTTAGAATGAGATCCGACACGTACTTATTATCAATTGATCAGCGTAGGAATCGGAATCGATGTGGCACGTGCATCGTTGGTGCTGGCGTGTTGGGTTGGATGTCCTGTATGAAAAAATTCCGTCCCAACTCACCAGCGCCAGAACAACAGCCTTAGGCGTGCGCAACCGCCTGGATGCATGATGTGAGCGCTGATTTACAATTTGGGGCACGTACTTGCTAGCAAAATTATCAGCGTCGGAGGCATGTGCATCGCTGGCGCTTGAGAATCGGTTTGGGTTGCATTTGACGCGGCTTCCAAATCCAATTCACCAGCGCCAAAACGACAGCCTCAGTGGCACTTGAGCAAGTTGTGTGATATTGGAATATTCGGACACCCTGCGCAAGGACCGCCGAATACGAACCCCCCGACGACACTCATAGTCAGCAGACCATCGAAAATTCTCGCCCATTCAACCTTGTATGCGATAATATTCATGAGACAGTGGCAACGACATGACGACGAGGAGGCAAAAAGCTTGCATTGGTGTGTTGGAGGTCCCATCATGATTAGAGTATATAGTGGCACCTCAGACGCTCAAATGCAAACCAGATGTGAAGACAATTAGGAGCTACGAATAGGAAAAATCTTGCTCGGTAAGTTGGGCTCGGTGTACAAGGATATACATACATCACTCAGCTCAACGTGCCAGTGTCGGGGTACGCGACTGCCCAGATACATGTTACCCAACACTTTAAAACAAGAGACGTGTACTTTTGAACGAAAAATAGCATTGGCGGGCACAGAAATAGCTCTAGAGCGTGCAGAAGGAGAAACACTGAATAAGGACGGCGGGAGTCATGAGCGGACAAGATATTGACTGGGCGGGTGACCATAATGACATTAGGATCACGCCTCCAGTGGCGATATCTCGCCCGCCTGATCTTGGATGTTAAAACGTTAAAGGGCCCATCTGGGCAAAACACAAGGAGGGAGGAGAGGAAGTTGGCATTGTGGTATTTATAGGTCAACGATGATTTGAAACTCAGATATTAATACCCCGATGCAAAGGGAGCCTTAGGGAGGTGCTCAGAAACGTGGAAGCTGAGCAGATAAATCATTATCTTACTGGTCCTGTGTCAGTCTATGATGATAAGGGATGATACTTTGAGATTGAGAGATAGAAAAGGGCGACATGGCAAATTTGGAGTATACGAGATAACTTCAAGCGTGATCACGGTCGACAAGCTATTTCATATACTCCCAAGTTACCGTGGATTGATATGTCTGATGTGTTGTAGTGAGAGGGTGAATTGTTTCCGCAAGAAAACACGTTCCAGTCAGCATCATGGCAACAAGCAAGTAGAAACAGCGTGGAGAGAACTCGTGTGGATGATAAACGTTGAGAAAACGCTTTGATCTGTATTTGTCATTGTTTGGTATATAGGCGGTGTGCTGCACGCGTCGACCTCGAGGAGATGACCATGCTCCAGATTATAATTTCATAGCTTTTAGATATCGTGTCTACCGTCCTTCCTTTGTTCTCATTATCTACCAGTTTTTTTTTGTTCCATCCAACTGACCAGGAGAAAGATTCAGATCAACGTTCCTCTCCATCATGGTCTTCGGTCTCTTCACTCGCAAGCCCGATTCCTCACCAACACACAACGACCAACTACACACACCCTCTCCCTCAATTTCACACCCTGACTCTCCAGCAGCCCTCTCACCCACTCCACCACCCAATTCCTGCACCACCGAGTCTGAGCCCAACTCCGAGGTAACAGATCCAACAGCCCTCTATGACCTCGTGCGCTCCGTCCCTCCGCAGACGCTACACGCGTACACCCTCGCCTACCTCTGCCCCACCTCCGATCTGCCACAAGCACCCCCCTCCCCACGCACACTCACCGCCCTAAGTCACTTCTTCAACGCACTCTCCCCGCCACCACAACTCCATTGTGTGCGCTGCCATGCCTCCTTCTTTGACCTTTCAAATACAGACACGTCTTGCCGCATTCCACATGATGATGAAAGCGCCCTCGTTGATCGTGCGGCGTATGAGACGTTGTGGGGTTGTTGTGGAGGGAGCGTTGAAGGGACAGGAGATATGGGTCCCCCTGATGGGTGGTGCTATGAGGGAAGGCACACGGTGAGTACTCATCTCGTGCTTCAGAGTTCTAATCCTCATTCCAGCTACAGACAGACACCAAACGCGCGCGTTTCCGCGCGGATTCCACCATCCACGACGACAAACTAGTCTCGTGCGCTACGACAGGATGCCATGGCCGCAAACGCAAGCGGAGCGTATCCGTCTCCAGCGGTGACCTGAGCCCCAGCACAAAGAAGAAAGAAAAATCGAAGGTAAACGCAAAAGTAAACGACGTTTCCCCACCGAAGTTAGTTCGCAAACCCACTTCAAAGGCATCCACGCCTAGGCCTACACCCAAACCGCTATCTAAATCTGATACATCCACATCCTCTGTTACGCTCACCCAACCACGCATCAGGCCCCTACCTAAATCCAACCTTCACCAATCCCACGTCGTATCACCCACCGTAGACGGCGTTTCCGAATCCGAGAGTGATACACGACAACACGACGCAGATATTTTCTCGCGTCCTACTAGAGAACGCACAAGAACGCGCCCAACTGTTGACGAGCACAAACGCCCTCCTGCTGACGAGCACAAAACCCGCACTGTTGCTGACGAGAACGTGTGTAAACCGCGTACAAGAAGTGCAGCACGGGAAGAGCGGAGTGTCTCGCGTACGAGGGCAGTTGTGAGAGGCGGTTCTGTGCGTGTGCTGCGGGAGCGGGAGAGAGAGAAGGAGAAAGGGATGAGCGAGTCGGATGCGGACGAGAGGGGACGAGGCAGGGGGAGAGAAGTAAAGAAAAGAAGGGTGGGTGTATGAGTCGTGCGTGTGGGTCATCCTGTGTGTGTGGATGAGTCCGACACATATAGCTAGTATTATTCCGGTGCGCCCCACCACGATGCTGACGAGTACGGCAGTTGATCTATCGTGTTATATCTCGACGTGTATATCCTATAACCCTCTTTTGTTCTGACTCGAAGACGAGTGTATGCTACTACCTACGGAGGTGCACAATGTGTATTTATCTTGACCTTATTATAATCGCTATGCCGCTTTAGGAGGCAATATACTGTATCTCTACTCGAATCCAGTATGAAATTCAATTCCAGCATCATTCACGGTCTTCAGATCAGTGTCTGAAAGCATTTCGAAACTCGACAGGCTTGTCGATAGTACATAGCCCCATCGCGATTTCAAGTTATCCTTGACTCAAGAAACCATCATGGACGCCTCCCACAAATTTAAACACGGAACATACATACTCTGGCTTTCAAGGCTAATATTAATATCCAACTTGTTGGGCACCGCATCAGATGTAGAGTAATCTCTCCTCGTACCCTCGTACCCTCTCTCCTATGTGCCCACTCGAACCGCTGACTATAGGATTGTCTGCGGAAACGATACATACGGTATCTTCGAGCCCTCTTACGGTTAACCCCCTATTTTTTGTACCCCGGCATTCCATGTGTCGCAGCTGCTAGACCCAAACAGAGACATGGCATCTCAGACGATGTAGATCGTCATGCTGTTCAAGGTCACGTTGCCTACGTGCTCGTTGAAGCTTGAAGAACTGCCGCGGCTCGTTATGACAATAATTGTCATCCCACTCCTTATCCAGCCTGAGTAAAAGAATCGAATCCAAGTGGTCCAAAGATGTCTAAAGTATGAAAATCCTATAAATAAAATACATATGGAGGAGGGGAAGAGACGCCGTCTCCTCAACATCTTCTACTAGTATTACTTGGGCCGCGGCACGTGAAATATAATTGTTTCATATAAACATTTCAGTGTCAGTAAAATTGCCCCCCCTCCCCAAGTACCAACGGTTCAGCCATGTCGAAAACTGACACCCCATTTATAGAACACGAACTCTCCGTCTTCAGACGCGTTCGCAAGCGTCTCGAAAACATTCATTACACAGACACAGGGTACAAAATTGAATACCGCACCGCCCTCAGTGACGCACTCGATAAACTCGCCAGCAGCCCTTTCGCATCCTTCAACCCAGACGCGCACGACTACTACATTTATGTCAAAGGAGAGCGTGCCGGTTCATGGCTGAATCCAGACATCGATGTATTCCAAAAACATGCCACTCCCTCGTCATTCGGTCGCGGCGAAAAAACCGTCATGGACCCCACCTACAGACACGGAACAGAACTCAACGCAGCCTCGCTCTCTTTCTCATCCAAATACAAAGATGTCCTATTTGACATCGAGTACGAGCTCGCACCAGCCATGTTCGTCGGCAAAGAAATTCGACTCAAGCTATACAAACTCGCCGTTTATGGCACAGGGGGTCATTTTGATTGGCATCGCGATTCGACGCGTAGCGATGCGCATCATGGAACGGTGCTCTTTGCCCTAAATACAGAGTGGGAGGGCGGAGAGCTTATGCTTAGGCGTGGAGGTGTGGAAACGAGCATTGACATGCATCCTACTCGACTTCCGGGTAAGGAGGGGCTTAGTCCGGTCGTCGTCGGATTTTATACGGACACAGAGCATAAAGTAATGCCTGTGACCAAAGGCGTGCGACTCGTCCTGCAGTTCGATGTCGAAGTGGTCGGTATATATCTTCCAAAAGATATAGGGGTGTGTTTGCAGAGCGCTGGTAACCGTCGGAAGCAGATTGCGTCTCGCTTCAAGACGTGCCCGAACGTGGATGACTCGGACGTATTGATTCAAGGGGTGGTGGACGAAATCAGAGAGTTGCATGAACGAGGGAGTACAGTCGTCGCATTCCAGCTCGCCCATCTGTACCGCAAAGCGAGCGTCAGGGAGGAATATCTCAAAGGAAACGATTCGGCGCTTTTTAACACTCTCAAATCCCACTTTGATGTGTCTTTGAGTGCCGTTGTCATCCGCTTCACGGACGGTGTGGCCGGTGAGACTGGTGACGAGTGGGGGGCCATTGCGTATAGCTATGCGTCATCGGCGATGAAGGATGAGGATTCAGAGAGCGAAGATGGGTGTGCGAACTGGCAAGGCATTGGTAGGGTGTTTAAGAATGCTTCTTTCCATCTTCCACAGGCTTCTGCGATTCAGGAGATTTCATGCCAGGATTTTATTGAGCATGTTGGAAACGAGTCCCTGTCTGGCAACACAAAGTATTTTGGCGCGAGGATGTTTGTGAAACCGAAGGAAGAGATGCAGTGATTTACTGGATGTTGTTTGTAGAAGCACATAGCTGTGACTGAGTAGCCACTTCAATTCGATTGATCTGTGCTGGGGAAATGGAGCCTAGAAACTACATTAGTGGACTCAGTTAATGACTGAGTAGGAACTTGTGAAAGGCTCAATAATTACATCTTCCTCCTGTTCGTCATTATAGACTGGCAGTGGATCCCAGTGCTTTTCTCCCTTTTCTGGAACCAGGCCTAGGCATAAGAAGTGTTCCGCAGTAGCATTCCGCATTTCTCAAATGAAACACAAGTCTCCTTAACACACCTCACTGTATTCGATGCGTAAATACATTTGCATTGTCGAAAGACGTGCCGTGTTGGGAGAGGGCACTCTGGGAATTTGACAAGTGATGTTAGCCAATGTCTTGCAGTATTTGGCACCAACCTTTGGATTCTAACATGTACAAACAGTCTGTAGCCTATTGCAGTTGCCAGAAGAGGTACTGAGTAGTTCAAACCTTGGTAGTTTCAATCGTCCCCTGTTCTTGTAAACTTGCTGGGAGGTTCTTCATGGCTGTCGCAGCTCCTATTGATGTCCCAGAGCTTGACCCTTGGCAGGATACCCGTACTCTCTCTTCCGACGTCTTGCCGAACGGCTCCAACCCTTCCGCAGATGATTACCATACCGATGGTATGCCCGTATCATTGAATGGGGCACATCCTTCTACCAATGGAAATACGAAGACCGAACCGCGACGGACGAATTCATTTGGTGACGACAAGAACGCCTCAGACGCAGGATACATGGACCCAGAGAATGCAGCACATGAGTCTGAAAGCGCGGAGGACGAGTCTGAAAGCGGAGAGGAAGAAGAAGATGATGATGGGGAGGAGGAATCTGGCGAAAGCGTAGAAGAGGAGGGCGAAGATGATTATGAAGACGAAGAGGAGGATGAACCAACCCTTAAATATGAGCGTATGAGCGGAGCGATTAATGACCTTCTCAAGAAGGACTCGGCTTCTGCTCTTGCGGTCTCAAATAACCTTCTGGTAAATATTTCACTCTAGTGCGAGTAGGAAAGGAGTGACCTTGAATCATCCAGGCACTTGGAACACATAATGGCATTGTTCACATCATCGATTTAACGGGTAAACGCATCAAGTCGTACAAACCCCATCAAGCTTCAGTAAGTGATACAGAGTTTGACAGCACAGCGGACTTCGTGGCGACTGCCTCTATCGATGGTAGGGGTGGGTTCTTGCTCCGTCACTCAACCCTAATAACTCTACAATTAGGACAGGTCGTTATTCAATCCCTCTCGACCCATGAGTCATACATGTTCGACATGAAACGACCAATCCGGACTTTAGCACTAGAACCTCATTTTGCGAAGAAAAGTACTCGGTCATTCGTGTGCGGAGGCATGGCCGGGACACTGGTGCTGAGAGAAAAGGGTTGGCTAGGGCACAAAGAAACAATCCTCCACTCCGGTGAAGGTCCAGTGTGGCATGTGCGATGGCGGGAACGCCTAATCGCATGGGCTAATGATTCGGTAGGTTCACATTGATGCACCCTAGCCATATTTACACTATGTATGAACAGGGCGTCAAGATCTACGACACCCAGTCCCAAATGCGGATCACATTCATCGAGCGCCCAACCGATAGCCCTCGTGCGGACCTTTTCAAATGCACGCTACATTGGCAAGACGACACAACTCTCCTGATAGGATGGGCGGACTACGTAAAGATCGCGCATATTCGAGAGCGCCCTCCGACCGCATCAGGCGGCTCTAATCAACCTCCTTTCATCGTTGAGATCACCGCCGCATTCCAGCTTGACTGCATGATCTCGGGGATTGTATCAAACTCGCTCTCGATGCCAATATCTCAGGACGGATCCTCTGCGCAGGCCACAACACCGTCATCATTTTTGGTATTGGCTTACCAAACACCAGATACATACGGTGACGAGATGACGGAAGATCGTGCAAGACAAGCTCGTAAAACAGCTGAGCGCCCTGAACTACGGATAATCTCTCACACAGGTGAAGAACTATCGGCCGATGCGCTGGGTGTTACGAACTATCAAGCATGGAGTTGCAACGACTATGTAATGGCGGAGGTCGATGGGCTGAACTCGCCAGGGAAAACAGGAAAATGTTACGTCGTTATTAGCCCCAAAGACATTGTGATCGTGCGGCCAAGGGACAGGAAGGACCACATCTTGTGGCTCGTGGATCATCAGCGGTATGACGAAGCGCTCCAAGAAGTAGAGAAACTTGACGAGGACGAACGTTCTGCGGATGATGATAAGTCTGAGATCAATGCTATCGCTATAGGAGAACGATATATCCGACACTTGGTGGCTGAAGGTAAACCACATTTGATATCGTTTCTGCAGATAACGCTTATAATATTATCAGGCAACTTTGCTAAGGCTGCAAGTATTTGCCCGACGGTCTGTAACACAGACGTCGAACGCTGGGAAAATTGGATTTTCGTTTTTGCTCAAAGTCAACAACTACAGGTGCGTTGAGTCTGTGATGCCATATGTACACCACTTAGCTATATCGCAGGCAATCATTCCTCATGTCCCTACCGAGGCACCTCAACTTGGCCACCTGGTCTATGAGATGATTCTTGCACACTTCCTCGTGCATGATAAGCAGGTATATCATGTGAATGTCCCGGACGTAACTAGCACTGATTTTTTTGTATAGTCTTTAATGCGCACTATCAAGGAGTGGCCAAAGTCTATTTATGATGTATCCGCCGTCATTGTTGCAGTGCAAGCGGAACTTGACCGGTCGCCATCATCATCATCCTCAAGAAGTCTCCCCGCACCGGACGGTATCATTCTCATGGAATGTCTAGCTGAACTGTTAGTGTAACCTACGATTGTTTTTAATTACCGCTGATCTTTGTTCCAGTTATACTGCCAATCGACAATATGGGAAAGCGCTCCCATTTTTCCTCCGCCTCAGACGACAGAATGTATTTGAACTCATCAGGGAGCATAATCTTTTCACCGATGTGAAGGATCAAGTACTCTTGCTGATCGAGTTTGATCAAGAGCTCCTTGAGAGGCGGAAACAAGAAGGCACAGAAGCTGAAGCAAGTACCAGCGAAGCGATTGCTTTACTGGTGGATCATATACATTCCATACCTGTGCGCTCACGTTATCTTATCTTTTTTAACTTGTCTCAAGAGTTGAACAGATCGTTCGCGTGGTTCAGCAGCTCCGCGATCGCCCCTTCTATCGATTCCTTTACCTAGATGCGTTGTTTAAAAAGGACTCTCAGCTTGGGGCAGAGTTCGCCGATCTTCAGGTAAGCCCCACCAGCGAATACGAGTTTGAATCCCTGTTGTATCGATGCGCATTTACAGGTTACGCTGTTCGCCGAATTTGCAACACACCGCCTGATCGACTATCTTCGGGCGAGCACTTCGTATAATCTTGAGGCGGTCCGTCATCTATCGAATCGAAGCCAGTCACATTGTTATCTAACATTCTTCAGGCGTACAACGAGTGCAAGAACAGGGATCTTGTATCCGAGATGGTATTCTTACTTGGTCGCATGGGCAACAACAAGAAGGCCTTAACACTCATTATTGAGCGTCTAGGCGATGTTCACATGGTACGTGATTGAGCAGATGAACGTCAACAAAGAGTGACATTCACAACATCTAGGCCATTGAGTTCGCTAAAGAGCAAAGTGACGACGACCTTTGGGAAGATCTTCTCAAATATTCTGAAACACGTCCAAGTAAGCGATTGATGAGAACCAACTTGTGCAAAGCTCTTACTCCCTGTAGCTTTCATCCGTGGTCTGCTGGAAAATGTCGGAGCTGAAATCGACCCCATCCGTTTGATTCGTCGGATCAAGAACGGGTTGGAAATTCCTGGCCTCAAGGAAGCACTGATCAAGATTCTTCATGACTTTCATCTTCAGATTTCCCTTCTGGAGGGATGTCAGACGATTCTCAACGGTGACAGCTCCGACCTTGCCAAGACGCGCTCAAAGGGCCAGAACAGTGGGTTCTTCATGAAATGTGCGAAGATTTTTTGCTGTACTCTCGCGTCGTTGATAAACTCGCCTCTTAGCAAAAACGATTTGTGTGCTATGTACGCAACCCCTACAGCGATTACCACAAGACCTTCTTTTGCTATTCTTGTGTCATCACGTAGTTCACGCCAGCTGCGTAGATGGCATGGCAGACATCTACAGCCACGAGGAACCCAATGAAGGCATAAGTACTATTGCCGGTGGAGTAAGCGCTAAGATTGCTTTGTGAGTTCGCATATATCCACATATTTCTCGTTTCTCATTGTTTTGATAGTGCTTCGGTAGTGCGGGCTAGAATTCATCACGGATGTCCTGTTTGTCACAGGAGAAGTGAAGGGAATCTGATGTAACTGCATATTTTGTCTCTCCTTTGCATGATTTACTGTATACCCTTGCATTCACGTCATCTTTTCTGCATATCAGATCACTTACGGATCGGACCCTACAACAGTTTTACAATGGGCTTGGGTATATCAGATTGACGTTGCTTTCCGCTGTGCAACCGAACACATTACAACTTTCGTTCGTGGTCTAATGTCTGAATCTCCAAATCCTGCACGACCTCCGCGCCCTCCTCACCTTCATTCTCTTGTAACCCATCCTCAGGGAGCAGCAAGTTCAGCACCAAGGCAACAAGGCCAGATATCAAAACTGCCGTCTAGGATTGAGTACCACAGGTATGCTTAAAGCTTGTCCACTCACAGGGTGTGCTCAACACGATAGTAATGCTTTCAAATAATCCTTGGAGGCCATTGTTTGGGTTGCTCACACCATCAAACAGGTGGGTAAAAACATCGGGAACGAGGAGGTCCCCAACGCCGAACGACAACGCCCCAGCGAGGATGAATCTGGCACGCCGCGTGTATTTGACGAAGGAAAGAACACGGAGACCTGAGACAGCGACACTTGCGAAGAGGAAGGTCGTGACACCACCTAAGACAGGATTGGGTACTGTAAATGGTTAGTACACCTGGAAGAGGAACTGTGAAACACGAGGCGTACTTGCGAGGAAGATGCCAGAAATCTTTCCGACCACACCGAAGAGAATGAGGAAAGCACAGCACCATCTGCCTGCTGTGCGGTTTGCACAGCGAGTGACAGAAATGACACCGTTGTTCTACGCAAACAAGATGGTGAGACCATGAACGATGCAACATCTATTTTACCCCGAACCTGAGCAAATACCGATAGAGGAGCGACAGTAAATAAGGCAGAGACCAATCCACCTATCCCGTCGCTCTACAACATGGTCAGAATATCGCTGGAATTTCCATGCAACGACAAACCAGAACGCCGCCTTGTATTCTTGAATCAAAATCACGTCCCTCGACGCGGATGCGAGACGCTTCCGCAGATGCAGTTATGTCACCGATGGCTTCCATGGTCAGCGAAACTTAACGTTGGTGTTGCATTTAGCCTGTCACGAAATGAAAGCTATTGATTTACCGTATACTGCCAGCATGGGCAAAATGGCTGGTGGGTATACTTTGATCTTGAATCGATATACCCTGCCCAACGTTCAGACTTCGTTTCGACTTGCCATAAATGCGTTACCATAAAAACGTAATTGCAGGTGCACTTGTGATGGTACTTCCGTCGATGTACCCTGCTGCGCCAGCGACAATACAGCCCACCACAAGCCCAACGATGATACTCGCATTTTTGAGGAATGGAGAGCCAAAGAGCTCCGTGAGGATTATGCTCACGAACGAGAGGAACCCGAGACCTATGAACTGAGGAGAGCCCCATCTGTAATAGGAATGTCATTTACCATTACTGTTTATAAATGTGTCAGACATACGGTAAAGCGTGGGGAGACCCGACTGTCGGGCATAGCTGATAGATCCCGGTAGTTGGGCGCGCTTGACACCCATTCGAGCCACCACCCCAGTTAGGAATGCCAGAAGCCCCGACGAGGGATGCACCAATCATGAGGATAACAGTGCCTGCGATAGGTGAGCTTCCACCAAGACATGCCATAGTTACTAGTCATACCAGTGACCATGGGAGGAAAAACCCGTTGCAAAATTCGCGGAGAGAGAAATGACAGCCCGATTTCCAGGAGTGAGCAGATAAGGGCAGTGCCTTTGTAGCGTCAGTGTCTCTCACTAGGCATTAAAAATCAAGTTACCAAGGAGCATCCCATAAGCATCTGGGCATGGACCTCGCGTAACAGTGCCATCAGCACTAGTTGTCGAAGGGCATGTGCCGTTGCTATACATCGCATTGAAGATCTGTGTTCATCTACATCAGCGACAATTTAACATACATGTGTAGAACCAAACGTACAGCATTTGCTGTACTGAGTGTAGCAAAACTCGTCCCTACAACGGACAACAATCCAGTGCCGAGATAATACTTGTTCCATAGCTTTATCCGGGACATTTGAACTAGACTTAGAATGCCTGATCCCCAAATCAGCTCTGCATGGGGCAAGTTGGTTGTGATCAGACACACCACATCCAATTAGTGAAGCTGATATCATGTAGGATGACGTGCCAGGGTCCAGCACCAAGGAACTGGCTAAGATTATGGGCGGTGTAATGAGACCGGCAAGCATTGCGAGTGCGTGCTGCAACCCGCTCGCCATAGCCAGAACAAGTGGGAGCTCGTCGTCGATGCCATAAAATGGGGGTTGTTTGCGTCTACCTATGGGAAGAGACGGCAGGCAGAGCCATCGGTAGTCATAGTCGCCAAGCCAGCCGTGCTTCGTAGTCACTTTCCGTCGTGCGTCGCTGAATATAGAGCGCGGAATGGGATCAGCCGTAGGTGACGGCTGTTCTGTGGTCACTGAAGATACAGAAGGTTGCAATTGTGACATCGTAGCTTTCTATCGAGGAAGCTAGGAATTCGAGATTTCAAGTAGTACTTATAGTACTTGATGGCTTTAGCACATCCGCACCCTAAACCCACTAGCACTTACCAAGGTACCCGCAACGGGCGTTTCCGAACCGAACGGGATCTGACATCTCCGTTGGAGAGACGATGCTGTAGTACATATGTGCTGGTGTTCATAACATTCAAGCCTTCCAGGAGTGGCGATATGTGTTCACCCGGCTGACTTATTGGGCCATCCCGACATACTACCCAACTGTCTCAGAAATGTAGTTAATGGACCAAACGAGATTAGAAACCTGCTTATCTCGGTCTGTTCCTCGTCAGAGTTGGCAGTGTTGCATCTCTGAAATGATCAATACACGTGTATGATTTCCTGGAAGCACACAAGATGTGAAACGACAATTGAATACGAAACAATTTGAAATTGGGGAAATCTAGGTGATCTATACCAAGATAAACAGGAAGGCATGTATTCTTGGCCGGCGTAGCATGCAGTAGACATGTAGAAGATGAAGGGATGTCGATGTTTGATGAGGAACCCCCAATGATGGTGACCTAGTGGCATCACTCATTGCTAGAGCAGAGGGTGTATGACAAGATCACCGTGGGCAACGTCCGAAGCCCAGGAAGGTGTGCCTGCGGCACGCCGGTTCTTGGATGGGATTAAAAGGAAACACAGAAGCGTCGTCAGTACACTAGTAGTAGCGGGAAGTGCGGGGTCGTTCCGAGTCCAATTTTAAAACGCTTCGCACGAGCGCACTCGAAAGTTTTCCATAAGTAAATCAATTCGCGTAAATTTATAATGATATGACCTCCAGTTCGTGAACTGTACAAATCAAATCTTTACCTCCTGTTCTAGTACCTGAATCTCCAAATCCTGCGCAGCCTCCACGTCCTCCAAATCTCCATCCTCCTGTGACCTATCTTGTGGGAGAATTAGGTTCAGCACCAAGGCAACAATGCCAGATATCAAGACTATTGACAATGCCATTAGTACCGTGCGATAGTGACAACATAAAACTTGTCGACTGACAGGGCGTGCTTAGCAAAATCGTGATGCTCTCGAACAACCCTTGAAGGCCTTTATTTGGGTTCTTCACACCATCAAATAGATGAGTGAAGATACCGGGCATAAGGAGGTCCCCAACACCGAACGACAGTGCTGCTGCGAGGATGAATCGGTCGCGCCGCGTGTACTTGACGAAGGAAAGAACGCGAAGACCTGAGACGGCAACACTGGCGAACAGGAAGGTCGTAACGCCACCCAAGACGGGATTAGGTACTGCAAATGGTGAGTGTCTGAAAGATGACCAGCGAAAAACGAGGCATACTTGCGAGGAAGAGCGCTGAAATCTTTCCTAGAACGCCGAAGATGATGACGAAGGCACAACACCACCTTCCTGCTGTGCGGTTTGCACAGCGAGTGACAGAAATGACACCGTTATTCTACGGCAAACACGAGATGTGACCAAGAACAGTGATGATAGAAGATATTTTCAAACCTGAGCAAATACTGACATAGGAGTGACGGTGAGCAAGGCGGAGATAATTCCACTTATCCCATCACTCTGCAAGATGATCAGAATGTCATTGATGAGCTTGTTTACGAAAGGACGGACCAGAACACCGCCTTGTATTCTTGAATCGAAGTCATCTCCCTCGACAGGGACACGAGACACTTCTGCAGATGCAGTTATGTCGCCAATTGCTTCCATTGCCACGGACACTGGCATTGGCGTTGCATTCAGCCAGCCAGCCAGTCCAAAGTGAGAGAGATACGCCTACCGTAGACTGCCAGCATGGGCAAAATAGCTGGTGGGTACACATTAATCTTGAATCGATGTACCCTGCCCGATATTGAGACTTAGTGTCAAGATGCAAGCATAGATATGTTACCATAAGAATGTGATTGTAGGTGCACTCGCGACGGCGCTTCCGTCGATATACCCTGCTGCGCCAGCAACGATACATCCCACCGCAAGCCCAACGATGATACTCGCATTCTTAAGGAACGGAGAGCCGAAGAGTTCTGTAAGAATTATGCTCACGAACGAGAGGAACCCGAGACCTATGAATTGAGGAGAGCCCCATCTGTGATAGAAGTTTGATTAATATCCTGTTTTCAAATTTGTCAGACATACGGTAAAGCATGAGGAGCCCCGACTGTGGGGCATAGTTGATAGATCCCGCTAGTTGGGCGCGCTTGACACCCGTTTGAACCACCACCCCAATCAGACATGCCGGCGGACCCGACGAGGGTCGACCCGATCATGAGGATAAATGTGCCTGATATAATTGAGCTTTTGGACACGATGTCAAGCCGTGATCATACCAGTGACCATGGGAGGAAAGATCCGTCGCAAAACCCTCGGAGGAAGGAACGATAATCCGATCTCCAAAAATGCGCAGATAAGAGCAGTCCCTTGGCACCACTGAATTGGCTTTCGCTGGGAACTAAAAATTGACTTACCCAGCACCATCCCGTAAGCATCTGGGCATGGACCTCGCGTGACAGTGCCATCCGCAGCAGTTGTCGAAGGACACGTGCCGTTGGCGTACATCGCGTTGATGATCTGCGTTTATCCACCACATCAATAATGTAGCACGCACATAATAGAGACACGCATACGGCGTTTGCTGTACTGATCGTAGAAAAACTCGTCCCGACCATGGACAAAAGCCCAGTACCAAGATAATAGCCACCCCACAACTTTATGCGTGACATTTGGACTAAACTCATAATGCCTTATTTCTAAATCAGCTCCGCATGGGTGTAATTTCGTCGTGATCAGACGTACCGGATGTGATGAGTGTAGCTGACATCATGTAAGACGACGTGGCAGGGTCCAGCATCAAGGTACCGGAAAGAAGGATAGGCGGTACAATGAGACCTGCAAGCATCGCAAGTGAGTGCGATAATCCACTGGCTATAGCCAGAAGGAGTGGGAGCTCGTCGTCGAGACCATAAAATGGCGGTTGTTTCTGTTTAGCTGAAGGAAGAGAGGGCAGACATAGCCATCCATAGTCATAGTCACCAAACCAGCCATGCTTCGTAGTCACTTTCTGTCGTACGATACTGAATACAGAGCGCGGGTTGGGATCAGCAGCAGGCGACGGCTGTTCTTTGGTCACTGAAGAAACAGAAGTTCGCGACATAGTGGCGTTCTGTCTGGAGAACTCAGGCTAGAGACAGAAATTTCCGAGTGCTGGTCAGCAAACTTCTGGCAGCGACAAGGTTGACCCAGGGAAGGATCTGGCTCCACTTGACCCAGCTTTTATCATTATAGCGCAGGCACATGCAGGCACGGAGGGCGGCCTGCCGCAGCGTTAGAGTCGCTAAATGATAAACGAAGTCGAAAATGCGAAGATAAGGGATATCTCGATGTGTTCTCACCCAATTAGGAAATCGAAATAATGTTACACAGCCACGAGTCCACGACGGTCCTACCTCAGCGTTTCAACTGCTTCAACACTGTTCACCGCAGCGAGCAACGATGACGAGAGCGCAGGATAGTTTCACTTTTACGGTTGGAAAGCTCGGTAAGTGACTGTCAGTAACAGCATTCATAAAACTCATTTAATCCAGATGCGGGCATGGCTGTAAGTCCAACTTCAGTACGTCACCCAAACATGAAGTGACGCGGTGCAGATCCTCCTAGGCGACCGAGCTCACCTCATAGAGTTTCCATCGATACTGCTTCCTCCTGGAGCGACGACTGGTTCCATAGTCAGCATCGCGGTCCACCAGAATGTTGCTCAGGAGCGGAAGCGAGACCATGAGTTCTGGTCGCTTCAAGAAGATATCCTAGAGACGTTTGGAAGTCACTCGCCCGAGAATCCACAGCTCGAGGTAAGTGGCATCTTTAAATCGCTACATGGTAATCCGCTTCACTGACCCAATGGTTTGCAGGTCCGCAACGTCACCCAAACCTCTGTCACGCTCGAATGGCCGCCCATCAAACTTGCCACTGCGAAACTACGGTCGCTTGATATATACAAGAACGGCCAGCGCCTTGCCTCAATCCCTAGTGCACTCACCAACTACTCCACGAAGCTTTCTGGGCTCTCCGTAGATACCCAATACAGTTTCCAGCTCCTCCTCCGTACTTCCGCAGGAACCTATCCCTCCAACCTCATACGCGTGCGCACGCACACAATTGCGGATACAAGCGGAATCTCAGTATGCTTCGCCAATGTCACAGACAGCGTGTTGCTTGAAAATGCAAAACTCGCCCTAAAGGAAATGCGTGCAAAGTGGAGCGACAAAATTCAAATTGACACAACGCATTTTGTGTGCACTACCCCTGCGATCACGCCCACGGGTGCGCAACCAGCCGGTGGTGTCGCAGCGGCGCCAGGCGCAGAATATCAACGTGCCTTGCAGTTAAGCATCCCCGTGGTTCAACCGCAGTGGATTTTAGCGTGCCACAGCGAAAAGAAGTACGCATATGCGAACTTTATCTATCTATAGAGTTTGTCATTGACAGTTACCTACTTTTCCAGAATGGTGCCAATCTCGGGTTACTATCTTGGCGTCACCCCACCCACGTCTTCTAGCTACTCTCAGCGTCCCCAATCAATGTCACAGGCTTCTCTCCCCAGCTCCAGCACAGCTCACAAAAACTCAGCATCGCGTCAAAGCCTCCCAGCAATACGCCGCCCAACTCCACCGTCCGCAACCCCACAACGACCCATTAACGAGGAGGAGGACGAAGAGGAACAATCCCCCCCACCGAAGCCGTCACTTTCTGAAATGAAACACAAGAGCAGCGGTACGATGGATAGGAATTTCAAGTTCCCGACGTCACCAACCCAGGCACAAGCTCCGGTAGTACCACCCGTCCCCTCTATCCCTACGCAACCACCTGCTCCCAAGCCCGAGTCTGAGGCAGGGTCAAACCGTGCAAATGATGACGGTATGACGCCCGTGGCGGTAGTCGCGCCGTCTAGCGTGGAAGTCCCTCCCCCTCCTCCAGTGGAGAAAGAGACCCGGAAAAGTCTCGTGGAATCTGAGGAAGGTGAGGAGGAAGTTGGCGAGACGGTAGAAATCGATTTGCGGTGAGAACTGCTGGCTGCTCGTCGTCTACTTACTTTGTCGTGTAGCCTTTGGTGTTATGAGCTAGTGATTTGGCTGCGCTGTGTGCGAAAATGCTTGACATTCAACATATAAATATCATCAATCTTTCATCCTACACGTGATGCCATACATTGACACTCGGGTTTCTTTCTGAGTTGCAATTTACACTCTTGGCTTGCACTTGGCCAGACTTTTGACCCCTGCTTTTGTTGGAGATTCTGATTCTTGGCCAGAACAGAAAAGGGTTTCTTGATGTGCGTGGTTATATTCCTGGCCAACGAGATAAGCTAGTGGACTACTTCTAAATGTAGACGGCTTGAATGACTCAACGAGCCGCTTCAGTCTGACAATCACACATCAAGTCTCCAATTTACCGTCGTCACAGGCACGTTGAATTTTGTGCCACGCCCATCTCGGTATCCACAGCGCGTCTAGCAAGGGAATTTGGGAAAGTAGCTCGATGATTCGGTTTCGCTTGACAGTGCGTCCATCCTTCCCAAAGTAGCGGGTGGAAGCAAAGGACCAGTGCAGCGCACCGACAATCCAGTCCTGCAACCTTCCAACATAGGTAGCCACCTGTATATCAACCTTTTCACGAGGGGAGAATGGCACGATTCTCTTCAAAGCGCTGGATGGTGCCATTGCATAGCTCGCCGGCGCATTCAAAAGCGCTTTACAGGTCTAGGCCTTGTTCGAGCATGAGTACGGCAAAAATATTATGGGGGTCGCGGTGAGACTGTTCCACGTTATAAGGGAAAATGTCCTGTGCGAAACGACATCAGCTGCAGTGCCCACATCGTTTCAAGAAGAATGGGACATTACATTGGTCCAACAGATATGATCGTTAGCAAACAAGGCATGCAGCCGCGGCAGCCCGTGTTTCGCCTCGTTGTGATGTAAGATTTAACATCAGGTGTATGTCCCTTGACACCGTCGTCGGCTTGCTTAGCTACAGCGATGAAGAACAAGCTCATTCTGTGAATAAACCGCTCGGGGCAGCCGGGGCCACTAGTGTCCCTGACTTAAGCGGCCGAAGTACCTAAGGACCATACATACGGTTAGAAGGTGGGTTGGTGCAATAGCTCGGCGTACGATCTGCACATTTCTCCAGTAAGTTTGTCGGCTTGGAAATTAATGGGATCACGAAATGCAGAAATACAGCATTCACGAATTCCCATTGTACCGTCAACATTGAACTCATCCAGCCAGTCGTCCGTAGTAAACAACCAATTCAAGAAGTCTGCGCAGATTCGAGGATGGACAGCATGGAGTAACTCGTTGATGAGAGAGAGAGAATTTCTATAATTATATACCGCAACAAACAAAGGAAACTGTTAAGACGCGGTGCCCTGTCCGAAGGGCTGTGCTGGGGGATATTGTAACAGGATAAAGGGTGTAAGTATAGTGCGAATAGCCACGGGGTCCACGTCTGAGGTGATTTGATACGCGTATGAGTTCGTTCGACGTACTTGATGAAAACTGACGAAAACAATTGGCATGAGACGGTGATTCAACTTGAAGTTGCATGAATTATGTAAGTTGTGTCGGAAATCTTTTTTGGGCATTAAAATGCTGACTGTTGAACCCCGCGCTACCATGAGACAAAATGAAGTTTAATGGTCAAAGAAGCATTTCTATGGGCATTTCAGTTGCATTTCAGCGGCATTTCAATGGCATTTCGGGTCATTTTTAGTGGCATTGTCATGCTGACTACTGCTTCGAAATGGGTATTCATTTTAATAGATTATAATGGCTAAAAATGCCCCAAAAAAAGTTCTGACATGTTTAAATGCATTTTCACGAATACTACCTCCGGCAACTGCCAGGGATCTTTGATCCTTAACGGTTTTCCGGTATCATGCCGAGTACGAGCCCCAGGTGTTGCAGGTTGAGCTGCACCGATACCTTACCCAAGAAGCCCTTGTCAAGCTTTGCAAGACGTTCAGTATTGCTGTGACTGCCTACTCATCGTTTGGACCCATTCCTACGTCGAACTTGGTATCGACAAAGGCCCGGGTGTTCCTTTGCTCCTCAAGTACAACGTGTCTTCCGCTGTGGCCAAGGTCAAGTGGCATGGGTGTACAATATCCCTCATTTGTGATGATATCTGACGCAAGATAATTAACAGCCAAAACTCAGGTTTTGCTGCGTTGGGCTACACAGCGAGGCATTACCTCATACCAAAGTCCAACGACCTTGGCAGATTGGTAGCAACCCTGGACTGCAACCCTTTGACCTCTAGAAATCTGAGCTTGCAGCATTGAGTGCACTGAACATCAACCTCGGGTCACGCGCACTCATGACTTTGTATGATAAATGATTTAAATTAACTTTGCAGTTGAATGACCTCGCTGACATTGATAGTCGCTTGGCTATCTTTGCAGAAAGGGTGTACGATGAGTGATGCATACCACTGTTCAACGTTCAGGATCGTATTGCATGCGCAGTGACTTGCTTGCCGTGCGGCCACAGCAACGTCGGAGCTTAAAAGGTGCCTTATCTCCTGAGAGTTTAGCGCCTTCATCCCTCATGGCTAACACAACTGCACTGTTCAAGATTTCGAAAGGCGGGCTCACTCGTCGCCTGACATTCTCCGCCCACCCGGATTGGGCCTTTTTATCCTTCAAGATTGGTACGGCATTCGGAATTGCAACCGAGAATGTCGGGGTATCATACCTTGACCAAGATGGGGACGAAGTGACCTTCAGCTCCGAAGAGGAGTTACAGGACTACTATATCACCCTCGGCGATGAGAAATACAATCTTATCAGACTTTCAGTACAAGACTTTAGCACTGTGCTACCGCAGCCACAGGCCCGCGTTTATGACTCCAATGAAGCTTCCACCGCAGCCTTCATTGACGATCCCCACCTCCCTACTCCGGACAACTCTAATAACAGCAGCACCAGAGCATCATCTGTCATTCATAACATAGCGTCTTTCTTGAGGACAACCATTTCCTCTGATCCAGAATTATCAGAGCTCGCTAATAAGATGGCTATAGCGGCCATTGGTGGAATTCTCTATTACTTCGGCGGAGCTGTCCGAACTGCTATGAAAACGACTGAATCCGCTGCCCAAGAGAATGTTGTTCCAGATAACATGGAAGTGCAACAGGAACAAGGACAGGAATCTAGTGGAAGGTATTTCACTTCTCTTTGTACTAGTGTAGTGATAAAGAGGATATTGACTCGCATCTGCAGCAATGATGTTTCCAGGCATCTTATCGTTATCATCATCACTGCCATGACTAGCATTGGGCACGCTCCACGTCGTGGCCCCAGACATCATTAGGGACCATTCCGTGAACCGCACCACAAGGACACCAGCCGAGGCACGCTCCTGATTTTTGTCTGTTCTCATTAACATCTCATGATGGGATTTTTTAGATGAGAGGTACATGTGACAGAGCAAATGGTTACCCATCCTCCCACCACTAAAAACAGCGAGGATGACATTTTGACCAACTTGATCAAGGAGCTTATTTCTTCCACTACCGCGCCTCGGGCTAGCAGCTCCATCGAATCCGTCCCTGGCCCTTGGGCCTAATGTGATGATGTATGATGTATGAAGTAGACTGTTGTATTCTGCTTTTTTTTGTCCGACTTTCTGACTATTGTATTTAAAAAATTTATGTTCTGATTACTTATAAGTTATGTGTTGCCAGTAAATTTAAATGTTTATGTATTGTTGTGCGGCTGCACTCTGCCAAATCCACACTTTGGGCCGTACTTTTACGTGCTACGCTCATATTCATTGTTCGTGTTGCGATATATAAAACAGACAGCCGTGATGGAAATTACATTCGAAGGGTATGAAATCGTGTGTCGTCGACATTGCTCGACTTGCAGTCTATAGCTACCATGACGGTACTTGGAATTCAGTGCTGTTGATCTGGTAAGTCATATCCCACCATCAAACAAGGGGAATATTTGGAGGGATGAAGTTCTAGAGAAAACTACAACCAAAGTGTAAACTCGCCAGAGATGGCTGCGTCGGGTTCACACGAAGATCCTCCATACCAGAGCACTTCGGTTGCGAAATGAAGCCAATCGATCATACAGATCTCGTCAAAGTTCCGTGTAAAATTAAACATACATCAATCAAGTAATTAATCAGAACATCGGGGTCAAACATCATGCATAAAATCCATGGCCGACATATGGAGGTGCGGGACTGAGGGGCGCAGGTTCCTCAGTCATCTTCTCAGCAACAAAGCCCTCATCCAACTGCGGGGGAGATTCCGGATCAGTCCTTTTCGAACGCTTCTTCCGAACCCCCAATGGACGAGAAAGTCTGACGAGGTCTTTCTCGTCTCGTTGCGGATGAGCAGGTTTGCCGAATGATCCAAAGGCTCCACGTTCTGGGTCGAGGACAGCATTATGAAGGCTTGGATGCGTGGCGGGTATATGGTCAGGATGGAGGGACGCCTGAAGACGCGTTCGACTTCCTGTGTACTGTCTGAGGACGCGGATAAGCCTCTCAAATACAGTTTCGTCTGGCGAAGGACATCCGCACTGCATGTATGGGACGTGAAATCGCGACTGAGTCTTGATCAGTAAAATTGATTTTCAACCACAAATATGACCCAAATTACCTGCCATGCACGACAAGTATTATCAAGGGCTTTCGAAAGAATGGCTTCTTCTGTAGCAAGTGGGCTGCAATATAAATTAGATGATCCGATAGCTACGAACCAAGAGACTTCACTCACTGGTCAACACGACGGTCAATGTATAATTCACAATCAACACCGTACCTGCCTCCCATAAGCTGATGGCTGTGCCAAATCAGATCAATATCAATAGTAGGAACAGGCATCAGATTCGGTGAGGCTGCTGCTAGATCGAGGAAGCTAGGGTAACGATCAGGTCGTCCATCATCGTGATCTTGCGATGAATATACTCCTTACCAGTGGTAACGAAGCAGAGCATGTTCCAGGACTTGTAACTTATCGCTGTCCTTGAATGCGCCAGGTCTAAGCCAGCCTAATTCATTTATCCTTTTAGTAAATATACCCTGTCGCAACACCTAGCCGGAAAATGTTATAGTTAGAGAAAAGAAATATATATTTCAACTCACCGCGGAAATGAGGTTGATAGAGAATGGACTGTCATCTTCATACGCGCTCAAAATTGTGGTCCTCCTTAATTGAGGTGAGAAATTATTGCTAGCATATTGTGGGGTCACATACGTCGCCTCTGGTTGGTCTCTTAGAGCTATTGCTATAGCGTCTCTTAACAGTGGCCAGGAGTAGCCAATGCTTTCCTTGATTTCTTTCTCCCAGTCCAGTCGAGCAATGCGCTGGTTAGAAGACGAAGAACTCTTGCGACAGAACTGTGATGACCGCGTGAGTTGATCTTTTATTGCCTTCGCCCGTCGGGGATCTCGCTTTCCGTTTCCAAAGAACAAACTTCCGCTGTAATCTTATCAGTGATAGCAATAAAGTTGAACGGAGTGCCACTCAACGCCATATAATTCTCGTTCCCATCTTCTGACTCTGTGAGATCTCGCACGAACTTTGCCACGGCTAGATTCCCCTTTGTTATCTTCAGTCTACATCCCGGGAGGGGACATATAGCACTAAACTGCTGCTCTGAGTACCCAGTTCCATTATCGTTAACAAACGCTGCAAGATACTTTAGCCTCCGAAGCAGTGAATGGACCTTTGACTCACGAACGAAGACACGGGTCCGACACCGAGGACACTCCATTTGTTTATGAGTCAATTCTTCCATGGCATCAAATGGATCGAAAAATGAGCCTGTTTGTTTGTGCCACGCAGTAATGCGCGATTGAGATGGTTGATTCTTTGCAAGTTTCCCAACATTGATCTGCCCATAGTCAAATTATGTCCGGGGATATAACTATGAGTGATGACTAACAGAAGCGACAACGAACACGTTGAGCAGGCGAAGCTGCTGAAGAACGGCGAGACGTTCACAGTCTTCTTCGTACCAACTGCCGAAGGCAAAATTTCAAGTCATTGATTCTGCATGGTTAAAAAGTATAAAACTCACCATGGATTCAATAGATAGGCATGCCAAACCATCCACACGTCAATAGGTGGAAACTGTTTACTGATGAACTTCTCAAGAGGTACGCACTCCAGGGATTTGACCCATCGCTCAAATCTTGACCAGCCATCATGATGCGTACGTCAAATGGAAGTGACTCGACGAACCTGTCGATAGCCAGTGTGATAAACCATACCCAGCGGCTATCTTTATCCATTTGTGCTGCAAAGGCAGGAATCCTGCGGTCCTTACATTCTTCTACTATAACCCTCAGATTATGGAACGCTCTGAGGAGACGGAGGTGCCCCTTCACTTGTGTAATAGACACGAGTGAACCTGGAGGCGTCTTTGAGCCGATTTCAAATGAAGGCACTTGTTTCTGCGAGGTTCGCTTAGTCGCCTGGGTTTGCATGACCAGCTGCAGAGTGACGAGGATTCCGGAGTTGTGAGCGCTGCAAGTCCGTGCGACTGTCTTATATGTATAGCTCACTGTCGGGATATAACAAATGATCGGATTCAAAGCGGGATGAAACTCTCAGTTGATGATCGACGTAAGTTGATATCACTAGATCATAGGGGCGATGTTAGCATGATTTGTGGACAACTAGTGATTAGTGAATTGCCATGGCCGCATACTAGAAGGGGAATGCTCGGCCTTTGGCAACTGCTCGAACAAGTTGTCAGAGGCTGTCAGTGTGTAGTCACGTACCAAAGATATAAAACTCCAATAATACAAGCCAGGGCTGGGCCCTTCCCGCGATCGTGAGATGCAAGAAAACAGCCTTCCTTGATATCTGTGGCTATGACTGCCGCACCTGGCAATGCGCATCAGACGTCAAAGGAAAAGATTCAAATCCTGTGCAGCACTGCTAAAAGCCTACTACAGGTGACTGCCGAGTGTGGGGATTATACAACCGATCTCCTTGTGAGACGAGCTCAGTTGAACTATTTGAACTAACATCTCGCGAGAGCCAAAATATAACTTCCATAAATGGTCAACCGTTTCAACTACCGCCGGCTGTCTACAGGTACAAGAGGGTAAGTGAATCCCTCATATGACTCCGAGGCCAAACGTGCACAATATCCTCCGTCATCTCCTTCCTCCATCTAGCATCAGCAGATGCATTTGGGTGATACGACAACAGAAATGCCGTGTACGGGCGCGACCTCCTGCAGGGGTCAAGAAAGCCAAAGGCCCCGCCTCCGTATTGTTGCCAAAAGTCGATGATGCCGAATGCCCACTCCGCACGAGGATCATATTTGGAATGCATGCAGGTTAATTCCACATTCCACAGCTCCCCGTGACTGAAACCGAGTCTTCTCTTCGAGCCATGCGTTCCTTCCACCACTGCCTCATACACTTGTTCGACTCGAATCAAAAGCACGTTGATCTTGAGTCCGTGATTAGTCAAGGCAAATAGCTTATCCCCGATTATGTAGCGCTCATTGTTAGCCTGTTCTTCCGCGTCAAAATCACTTGTGTTGCCCACTGCAGGATAGCAGCTAGGATCAGCTGGAAGGGCGGCGTTGTAAGAGGACGAGGATCCTTTCCAAGAGAAGATCTCCCAGTTGTCACATCTCTGCAAGATGGCCTCCATTAGACGATAGAAGGCTCGTTTTCCCTCGCCATATGCCACCATCAGGCTAACATCAAATATCCCGATCAAGGAATAAGCGATGTCTTCTACCTTCGTCGTTCGTCTGTTGGATGCCCATACCATCTTTTCTTGCACCCGGTTCGTCCCAGGTGTGAATACCCTGAGATCCATCTCAGGTATACGTGTAATGCGCGAAATTTCTTGTAGTAAGATCCAGTTGCATTTGTCGTTCTCCGACTCATGAAGGGGCCTGAGTGGCGCCCACCACTTTCCATAAAACTTCATCTGGAGTGGTGCAAGGAGCTCCAAGAGCGTCCAACCTCTTTTGAACCACTCCTCCTTCGCGAGATCGTCCATGCCCTCTGTCTCTGGGAAGTAGGTGATGCATATGTGTGAATTGCGATACCATCGGAACATGGAACGGATGGCCTCGTCGAGCTCTGAACTGCTTGTCTTGTCTATGCAGCACATATCGCACCATGCGAACGAGCAATTGAAGTCGTTGCGTGCCTTTTGGCAGAACGCGTATAACTTCCCAAGTCCACTCACGTGGCCTGGGGAATCAAAAGACCCGACTTTGACCTTTGACCGCATGTATTGGAACGATGTCTCTGAGTCTCCGTCAACCCATCGATGAGACAGGATGGCATATTGGACCTTCTCTTTTATCAACCTTAAGATAGCGTCTTCCCATTCTTCGTGAACATTGGGCACGATATCATCCTCTTTGATCTTGTCGACTGTGGTCTGGTAGTATGAACGCAAGGAGAATCGGTCAACCACCTCTATCGTTTCGATTGGGCCTCTATCGGGATGCAGTTGAAGGAGGTGTGCGGGTATCTCGTTGATGATATACTCGTCGAACATTCTGGAGACAAGCTCTCTAAACGTCTCATTTGAACTCATGCTGCAATCAGATATTGAGCCATGTCATGTTGTGCCATCTGTGGTTAATTAAGATACTCACCTAAGAAGTAGCAAAGTCTTGGGTGGAGTAGTGACGACGTTGATGAGTGGCGTGAACAAGAGGGAACGGAGGAAAGGTAGCAAGACCGAATTCTGTTTCATTTATAATATGAGCGCTTGGCCCAGCTGGCAGTGCCGAATGGTCCTTTATACGAGTCAGTTATACAGGTTCCACTACCAGTATGGCAGTTCCTGTCATTTTGGCATGTTGTACGATAGCTGTACTCTGTATAAGACTCATCGTGATTCGTGACGCAATGAGCAGACCACTGGTAGTAGTACTGTACTGCAGGTTAGAATTTAGGCAGACACTGGTGTATCGCATTCGTGTTTGAGAAAGGGTAGCAGTGACGGCCGCCCACCGCAACTATTCCAGAAGCTGTGGAATGCAGCATGCTTTGATACTCCAGCGTGGCACCGAAGGAATGGAAAGTTGGGCCAGCGAGTCGGTATAACAAAGACCGTTGATGATTGATGAGGCTTGTTCCATAGCCAGACAAACAACCGGACTCAGCCTGGACCTTCAAACTTCACCAGGAAAGAAGGAATTGAACAAGATCACAAAGAACTGGCCAATGTCACGGTGTTGGAACTTGATACAATGCATGTAGACGATCGATGAAACTTGCTGGTAATAATTGTAACTCCGCTACCAACCTTTGCCAGCAAGTAGCAAGAACGACAAGGAACGATACAAGTATTGATGAAAGAGTTTGTATGTGTTGCGAGCATGAGTCCTGACATATCGTTAAAGATACAACTGGCTCAAAGGGTGTCCTACATGACCGTCTGGTTGAATTTTGATAACTTCCTTTGTCATCTCCTTCTTCCACCTGGGATCTGGAGATGGATTTCTATCCATGGACAACAGAAACGCGGTAAATTCCCTAGACCTGTCGATGAAACCCATCCCACTGACGTCAACCCAGTAGTCCAGGATACCTATTGCCCAGATGGTGCAACGAGGTTCGCGTTTTGCTCCAATGTGCCTCACTGCCACCACCTCGAACTCTGCACGCCCGAAAGTAAGGCATCTTGAATCGTGCGACTCGTCTGTTGTGTGTCGTAAATCGACGTCCAGTACGAGCACCTTGATTCGGAGGCCATGGTTGGTCAAGGCAAAGAGCCTATCTCCAATCCCGCAGCTCGCTGTATTCCATTCCTCTTCATTGCCTGCTTCGTGCGGGCGCTTCACAAGCGTTTCCCGATATCCCACCGGATAACAGCGCGGAGCCTCGGGAAGGGTCGCATTGTAGTGGGAGCATTGACCACTCCAGAGAAACATGTCCCATTTGTCGTATCTCTTCATTATCTCCTCCATGAGACGGAAGAAGGCCCTATTTCCCTCGCCGTATGCGATCATGAGGCTGACATCGAATATTCCGATGAGAGAATATGCGGTATCTTCGATGCGTGTCGTTCGCCTCTTAGACGCCCACAACATCTTTTCCGGTACTCGATTTGTGCCAGGGATAAACGATTCAAGATCTTCGAGAGGAATGTGCGTGATTGTTGATATCTTTCGCATGATGGTCATGCTGACTCTGTCGCTCTCGGAGTAGCGGAGCGGTATGAGGGGCTTCCAGTCGGCTCCGTAGAACTTGATTCGCGACGGAGCGAGGAGCTCTTGAAGCGTCCATCCTCTTGTGAACCAAATATCAACCTTCACTCTTTCACCGTTTTCACCCTCCTCCAAGTCCTGCCTTCAAGAGCCGCAAGGTTTGCCGTCTCCGACAGGTATGCGATGCATGTATGGGAATTCCTGTACCAGCGAAACATCGAGCGGATGGATTCATCCAACTCTGCGCTGCTTGTTTTGTCTATGCAGCATGTGTCTGACCAGGCGAATTCACAGCCATGGTCATCCTTCGCTTTACGGCAAAACTCCTGAAGTTTCTTCCACCCGGGCTCGAGCTCATCCCGGACTTTCATCGGTTCCGTCGATATATCTTGATACAAGAGCTCTTTGGGCAGCCATCTATGGGAGAATATGGCATATTTGAGTTTTCTCCTTCACCCGCTTCCTGATACTGCCCTCCCTGTCGAATAGCCTTTCATTGCGAAATTCTTTGTAAATGTCGCCAGGGACTGATTTGAAGTGCAGCTTGACGTCGGTCCTGTCTACCAGTTTAAAATTCTTCTCCTGACCATCTCCACTGATGTAAAGTAGACGAATGGGCATCTCGTTGGCAATATACTCGTTGAATACTTCGTCAACGAGATCTTTGAAGCCCTTATCGTCAGCAGTGGAAGCGCCTATGTAGTCGTCGACCACCATAGGAACGCCCGAGTCGCGCATAGTGAATTGAAAGTTATCTGCTAATGTTAGGCAACAAGATCATGATATGCATAGTGAGTAACTCACGATCGACGACTGCTGGTAGTGGTGGGTGACTGAGAGACTCTTTAGACGCTCTAGAAGGGATACATGAAGTTCGCGTTTATATTTAACTTTCCAGAACGAAAAGAACTTTTGAACCACCTTTGACGCTCAAGACATGGTAATCTGCCAATATATGTTCAGAACGTCACCGAGCCGGCCTTTGCTATGTACATTCGCTGCAGTGCATTGCCTCCATGAAGCCCAGAATTTATGCGAGCCGTCCTGCACTGACTTTCGAGACATCGGAGCCTTGTGATGTGGTCATCCCCATCAAACTCCCTGACACCAAGTTACCGCTGTACGACATTGCCTGCATGTGGGCAAATTACGGTTACCACTTACCGTTTGGCGATGGCCGCTGTAGGTTCACATAAACGCGTACAGAAGAGCCGAATAAGCATTTTTCATGGTATCTAGTACGTACTATGAAGCAAAAGTAAGCCCATCCCCCTCAGGCTGTGGCACCAAATTTCAGCATGATGTCCAACTTGCATCATTGACAGCGCTGTTATCAAGTTCGCACATAATGGAGAACATGTACACGTTGCCGTTGCCCAACCAGGTCTTCCACGAGTGTCTTCAATGCGATACCCATCAAATTGCTCCACATCTCCCAAATGAAGTTCTTTCAAACGTTATTTTAAGCCTACCATCGATAGCATCACCGGTCAAAAGGCCAACAAACAACTGCAACGCTGGCCAAGGAAGGCCTTCACGAGTTGGTGAGGCATGAAGTGAGATGTGTCATCCTCTCGCACCGATAGTTCGACATGGAGGTGTCGTATCATGATATGCTACAGGAGGAGAAACCCGTGACTTCTGTGCACCATGGACTCACGAACTTCTGCGAGAAGGCCAGAGCGCATGACTGCGATTTCGTATGGTCTAATACTTGCTGCATCGACAAGCCGAGTACCTTGGAGCTTGACCAGTCCATTCGTTTCATGTTCAAATGGCATGGAAACTCATGGGCGTGCGTCGTCTGCCTTGGGAAGTCGTTGGACTCTACAAGAGCTCCTCTCCTCACATGTCATAAAATTCTACAGATGGGACTGGACGCGCTCACCGACAAAAACGACAAACACGGCGAAGATATTATCGTGATTGCTATCTCCAAAACCACGAGGATTCCGACGAATGAACTCATAGGTTTCATGTCGGGAACGTCTATCATGGGCATCCTATAGGACAACCATTCGTAACCAGGACATGGCTTATTCCTTGAGTGGTATTTTTGACTCATCAGCATCTTCATCAAATACGGAGAAGGCAGGAGAGCGTTTCATTGACTACTCAGAGCGATCATAGAAAGCCTAGATAGCTGGGAGGTGTTTGATTTAATTCATGGATGATTCTCCATATGAAGGCAAGACGTTCGCTTCATTCATTCGTTTAGTTTGGGATCTACAGCGGTTGGGAAAACGATGAACTTCAGCGGTACAAGGGGACCAAAAATGACCTGCTATCCTACCCACACTATGCACCGGCACCAGCGGATCTCCACCATCGTACATGTCCATCCTGTCCTCCAGTAAGAAATGCACCCGCGGATCCAGGAGCGGGTGGTTTGGGGGACCATGCAACGCTCCATACCTCGCCACTTTCCTGGAGCGTCGAGACTGCTGCGCGTGCCGACAAGTCCCACACCTTGATTGTTTTGTCAGCAGACCTAGAGGACGTAGATTACTAAGGTTATGTTTGATAGAACATGATATACCCTGATGCAGCCAGACGTCCATCCGGCGATATGCTAGTGCTGAGCACCCAAGAAGAGTGGCCTGTAAGCGTGGCTACTGCTCCAGAACCAGGTTTTCCGGATGGGGTTGAGCGCACATCGTGAAGAATGAGGCGCTTGTCGTCAGAGGCTGTCAATAACAACTGGACGCCATTCGCTCAGGCTACTTTCTCTCAATAAAATTGAAGAAACGAACCTGCCCATCGTATGACCATGCCAACGATCTTACACACATGGCATGCGAAGAATAGGTTGATGTCAAAGCTTGTGATTCCAGGTCAAATATAAAGACTTGGCCAGCTTCGTTCGAAAATGCCACCCGAGTACCATCTGGACTCTAGACAGAATCGATTCGTTAGTTATCGCGAGAGTTCTGGGATCCTTGGAATTTGAAACATCGCAATATTGAATACAAGAAACTCACATGCACGCAATCCATACCGTGTCTGCTCCTACCACTTGCCAAGATTGCTTGTCGTGTTCCGAAAGAGTCAGGGTTCGCAGAATAGATATTCACATTTCCAGAGCTGCTGGTACCCGCATACGTCGCGCCATTTGGATTGAGTGACACAGACCACGCTGGGCACATATAACATCATGAGAAATCATGCTGTCTTAGAGTCCGCGCAACTCACAAGGCTCAGCGCCTTGCACTGAAGAACGGTCGTAGCTTTCATGACGCCCGACCACGGTATCAGCCTGGAGATCCCAAAGCCATGTTGTACCATCGAGACCGTTGTACAGCGCAAATTTCCCATCAGGTGAGACGGACAGAGAAACTATCGCAAGGTTGTGTGGCGGACGCGACATCGACACCTGTCCAGAGGTGGAATCCCACTGCTTCACTGTGCCATCTGCGGAAGCGGACACGGCCGTATTATTGGCCGTCCATGCTACAGCCCAAATCTCGTCACTGTGCGCTGTAAACGATCGGTTTAATGAAGACTGCCTAGGGTAGTAACACTCTGGCGCGTACGTTCTTTGCACTCAAGCGCGTTAACGAATGCGAGACTCTAGCAAATTTTATAATCTAACTGCCATAGCATCAGGGAACGCGAACAAACCATATCTGACTGCTTTTGTGGTCGATGATCAGGTGCAAAGTGTAAGGCCAACCTCAATCAGAGCGCAAGGATCAAGTCAAATGGGATAACGGCTCTTTCCGAGCGGACTCTGGACACGCACAAAACCTTGTGCTGGCCGAAACCTTATTTTTCATCACATCAACGAGAGCGGACGAAGACATCGCAAATTCTGTAATCTAATCCCAAAAGTATGTCGTCTATGATAATGTCCAGTTGTTTCTCTGATTGAGAAATAAAGGATGTCTGACGCTGGAGATGAAATTCAAGTTGACGCCCCGGCTGCTGAGGTCGAGGTAACCACCGAGGCTCCGAAGGGCAAAATGTCCGTTGAGGACGCTCTTCAGGTACGCGAACGCGAACCCCCTAGTCAGGTTTTACCAGTTCTTAACTTTGATCGTGTAGCAAGTTCTGAAGAACGCCCTTGTTCGTGACGGTCTCGCTCGTGGTCTCCGCGAGTGCGCCAAGGCGCTGGACAAGCGCCAGGCCCACTTGTGTGTGCTTGTGGAGACCTGCACGGAGGCTGAGTACATCAAACTCATCGAGGCACTCTGCGCAGAGCACAAAATCAACCTGATCAAGGTTGGAGATGGCAAGATCCTGGGTACCTGGGCAGGTCTTTGCAAGATCGACAAGGAAGGCAACCCCCGCAAGGTCGTTGGCTGCTCTTGTGTCGTTGTCAAGGACTATGGTGTAGAGAGTGAAGGTCTCAACGTGCTCCTTGAATACTTCAAGAACCGTTAGCGTACGTGCTATTCCAATTCTCGTATTACGATGACAAGACAGACTCCCTCAACCGAGAATTCGTTCGCTGAGGAAACAGTCTAACCGGAATCATTATCTCGTCTGATCTTTATTGGTATTCTCGCATGAAACGCATCACTGACTAACATCTCTCTACGTTACAGATTCTCGTGTACCTTTGTTCTCATTCTAGTACATCTGCAAATAAATGATCTGCGTTGTAACTTGTGTGTTTGATGGCTGATCGATTGTTTCTACAACCAACATAACTTAAAGTTGCCGACTGACAAACACCAGCACATATTTCTTTCCCCTGCTGTTGGGTACCTAGGATTCCACGTATGCTGCGCTGTTCACCCCCAACAGTTTGAGTTTGACCAAGACGCACCTTAGGGGTTGGCAAAGGTGTATTCAACTGAACATTAACGTTGATCGACTAGACGTAGTCGAATTCCAATATTAAGCTATGCATTAGCTTTAGTAACTTCGTCTTTTTGAATCGTCCGGATGTAATAGCGTTAACTCCGTGTACATGCTTTGAAGTTTGCACCCGAGCGCCAAGACGTATACATATAGGCAACTCCCCAAAGTTTCGACTCCCTGTGTTTGAAAGGCCATGGCCTCCCCAGAGCCTAGTAATCGAGCGCCTCATAAGGCTGCCATGTCGCGAACGCCATCATATATTCAATTTGCACCGCGCCGTGCGATGGCCTCTTTCGAGAACCTCGTTGCACTCGCAAACCACCAAGAGCGACTCCGGGAAGCCCGAAGGATTGTCTGGAGGGAGCGCGGCGAGCCTGCTGCCGAGCTTGAAGATCTTTGGGAGTGCATGGAGCATGCGGGGCGTGGAGGATTGAGTGAGTCATCGTTTGGCACCCTCACGGTAAGTAGTATATGTTGACAATGTTTGACATGTAGGGGCTGCAACGATTGCTTTTGCTCTCCGTGCAAGCGTGAATCTTGTGCTGGCCACGATAAGAATAGGAAAGGTACCAAAGTGAGTTAGAACTGGACATTCGCTTTGATCCCTGATCGATTGAGTCGTACAGGCACATGAGGCTTTCACTTATTCAACATGCAATCTTTGGAAAGGACTCGTTTAGATTCGCAGCCATGCTTGGTGAGCGAACAGATGTTGTAATATCTTTTGCAAGCTTTGTCTTATGGTTTTCACAGGCTCCTTCGTGACTATTTACAAGGCGATACTTAACGCCCTCCCCGTCATCCTTCCCGTCAATGAACGCGCAAACCTACCCTCACCATTTGAGGACGAGCACGAAGATGAAGATATCGAAGCCCCACCAACGCCTTTCGAAGTTCCTCTCTCAGCCAGACAGCCGCGCCTCTCCTTAAGTGCTCAAGCACATCAAATTTGGGTGCGTAAAAAGACGCGACGGTGGCACGCTATGTTTGCTGGTGCTCTAGCCGGTGGCCTCGCGGTTATGTTTGAAAAGCGATCAAGAAGGGTTGTCATCGCACAACAACTCTTCGTTCGGTAATCCATTCTATTTTTATGATGATGCAATGATTCATTTCAAAATGATGTTTAGGGGTCTTCAAGGTTCATATAACGCGTTTACTACGAAGCACGGTTTTCATCTACCCTATGGAGATGTGCTCATGTTTTGTCTTTGGTATAGGTAATGCATTATGGTAGAGGCCTTAGTTCTGATGTATGAATAGTTCTGCACAAATTGTGCACGGATTCCTTGCTCGACCGGAGACGCTCCCGCGATCATACATAACGTGGTCAGTCGATTGATATTTATTGCAGCGATTTTTTTCAAAAAAATTTAGGCTTACAACTGCGTCGGGCGCTCCGGCGAGCGCGATCAAGATAGTCCAAGAGATGAACCAGACTGGGACGTTTGACATACAGGACCTCGACAAGATCCTCAACCGCGAGGTGCACTGTTTATGCTGATTCTCCTCGCGACGCCTCTCACTTGCATAATAGGACATCATCCCCACACATCAGGCCACTCTTCTCGCTAGAAAGGCACTGGCTACCAATTCGTCTCCTGACTTTGGGCCGCCCTACGCTCCCTGTGCCGCCGTGCACCCCTGGGTGGAGTCATGCACACATGTGCCGCTACCACGCTTCGTCACAGTATTCAAATGGGCCTTCCCAATCTATGGTGCTCTGCATTTTGTCCCGATGATATTGTTCAAGCGGCATGCGTTCTTCAAGAACCCATTGCACAAGCTTGGGCGTGCAGGGTGGGCTACGATACGGAGTTCTGCATTCTTAGCAACGTTCATTGCTACGTTCCAGAGTATGTACTACCGTCCCTTTGTCCCTGCCTGGCATTTAACACCTCTCCGTAGCGTGGTTCTGTTTCAAGCATTACCTCTACCAGATGCTGTCCTCCCAAACTTTAGTCAAGCTCCCACAGAAATTTATCGACTTCTTTGCGTCAAAATATTCCTATGCACTCGGTGGACTGTTTGGTGCGCTTTCACTTCTTGTCGAGGAAAAGCGCAGGCGAGGAGAGCTCGCGATGTATGTTTTGCCGAAGGGCCTGGAAAGTGCCTGGTTGACGGCACGAGGCAGGGGCTGGGTGTTCCACACCGGTCACTTTGGGGAGATGATTGTAAGTGTTCAGTTTCGTGATGGATGGATGTACTAACATGTACTAGCTCACTGCGATGGGAATGAGTATGGTTATGGTGAGTGCGAGGTTGCTATCTTATTCTAGCGCCACCCTGATGTTATTTTTGTGACGTCCAGAGTATTTATCAGGTAAATTTGATTCTGTCTGTGGTGGGAAATCCTCCGGAAAGCTCACTCTTTTCAGAACGACCCACAGCATCTGTCTGGGCTTGTCAGGCGGATATTATATCAGTTCATCGGGCCTAACTGAGCGAGGGCGGCGAGATCGTATATCCGCTTGGAAGGGATTGTTCATTTTTTGTGGGTTTTTGTCCCATCACTTGCCCTCGTAGTAACATGTACGTTGGGGCAGCATCAATGTTGTTGTGCTCCTTTGAGCTTGTAATGATAATGACTTTACGTTCTGATGAGAACGACGCATCAAGATCGCATTGACGACAACCAGACCCGGGAGACCATGCCAAACAAATTTCAGGGTTCAACGTTCAAACGTTCATCAGCTGTTCAAGTACTTTCAATTGCGAGGTGGCGCAGGCAAAGTCGACCTCGCCAATGTACACTGCCAGTAGTGTGCATGTTTGCATGAATGTGTTGTTTGACTCGCTGATATGTAATGTGGTAGGATTATACGTGCTGGATACGTTCACGTGATAAATAACGGGTGGTAGCCGAGGACTTAAAATGCTAGTAGTTCCTGCCTGAGGCAACTATCAAGCGCCCGCGCCGTCCTATGCCTTTTCACATACTCGTCTTCTCATACAGCATTGTTTGCGGAGAAGCAAGCGCGATTATGGGAGAACTCTTGTTGATCCGGGACATGCGGTGAATGAACGTCCAAGAACGAAACCAGATCGTCCGCAATGATTCGATGCATCGCACTCGTGGGACGCAGCCGATCTACCCATATCGCGCCCCCAGCTTGACTGATGTCGCTGGGATCAAATCCAAATGCGTTTGGGTCATCCAAAACGCGCGTAAATGTGTCCCATGAGGAAAAGAGAAAGGCGGTAATGTCTGGATGGGATCTAGCCCAACTCTGGAGTTCTCTCTCTAATGTCGTATTCCACGTCTCATACTGTTCCAGTACGGTACTGGTATCTTCTCGAACTACGTTTGAAATGAATATATGAATCACTGGAGACGATGCGGCCATACCTGAGGGTGATCGGTGAATTGGAGGGAGATCAAATAAGAGGAAGTTTCGAGCTCCGGAGGCGTATAGTCTCTCTTGGTACCGGAAAAGCCCCTTCAGCGTGTTGAACACGCCATCCATGTCTTCGATGAGGCTGAGGAATTCAGAATCAACTTATATTCAAGACAGCAGGACGACGATCTTACGCAAGATCGTTGATCCCAATCCATGTCACTGTCGTAGATCGACGTAGATCCCGTCAGAGAGACCAAGAACGCGACTCAAGAGTACTCACTAAAGAGTGTGTCTTGTGGTTCCCATGAGGCCGATGATGGCTTCCTCCCGACATTCGGAAGGAACTGGTATATGATCTGTCTCTCTAGAGAAGACACAAAGTCGCTTCCCCTGGCATAGTCGTACACCAGTTTGGGTGAGCGCAATTTTACGAGATGTCCGACCCAGTTCGGCTTTCCAGGCTCTGCGTATGTTACCCCGGGATAGGTCACTCCCAGTGGGCTCTTGATTGTCGGATGGGAAGAAGCTTGATAGTCCCAACGTACGCTGCTATACGAATCGCCACTAGTAGAATGGATCAAGTCAACTTAATCTTTTAGAAGCTCGCTTAGTTAATAGGCGGGATGAGGACATACAATATGATCAAATGTTGGATTTTGCTAAAGCCATGCCATGTGTTCCCGGCCTGGATGATAGTTGAGGGCATCGTTCAGTTGAAAAAAAAAAAGTTGTTCGGGAAGACAAGAGGTAAATCTTCTCTTACCTGACTATAAGCTAAAAAGTATCCTCGTGTATTCCGTGCTGGCGGCACTAGTTGTAGTACTGCTCCACAAACATGTTCCGAGAAATGCATGTGTTCCCCATTCGGGATTCAAATGAATACCCGGACAGTCCAAACCCTAAGTCCTACATCGTGCCACTCACGTTGAAAATTTACATTTCAACACAACCCAATTGGTGGGATGGAAGAAAAGGAGCCTCCTGAACGCGCAAATTTGTCGAGTCCTTCTACGTCCCATACGGCGTCTGGAGTATTCGCTCACTTCCAGCCATACGCACGATCCAAGTTCAGTCCACTGGCTATATCACCGTGTTATTCTGGCACATTGATTGACTGAATTTTGAAGGGGGCCCGTTCTTGCTCTGGGGACATTATGTGCGTGTCGATCGAGGTTTTCGCTTCATATCACTATTATCTGAAATTTTTTTGAATGAATAGTCGCAGCCTCAGCTGTTATTCCATCCACTGTCCTTCGTCCAAATGTTTACTTTCCTCCATATCTCCATCGAGTTGGCTTCTCCCTCGTTTTTGGCGGCGCCGCGTATGTCCTAGCGGCTGGTGACGCAAGGAATGGCAGCGGAATAGCTACCGGTGAGCTTTAGCATCACTCCTTGATTCACGTTTGATGAACATGCACCGCGGCAGCTTGGTCATTGACATACCTCTTCTTGCATCTGCGACGGTCTCTAAAACCACCATTTTATCCAATGACACTCGCAATGACGGGAGGTACAGCTGCGTGTGCAGCTTTGTACGGTACAGAATACTTCATGTACCAGACCTAAGTCACAGTGCTTATTTGGTCCTTCCGATCGTCCTTGTGCTTGAGGTCTGCACCATGACAGAGAAGCATGTCCGCAGAATCACCAAACTTATGGGCATCAATAAACTTTACCTCGTGTTCCTAAGCCAGGCCTGATCGAAACAATGGACGGCACACAAGAAAGAAACGCGTTAGCTTGTGCAGACCCTCTATGCTGCGGTTGTCCGGTTTTACTGGGACTTCTTGAACACAAACACTTTGATCCGTCGTAGGAATGCACAAGCGCACGGCGGGCAGATAATGTACTCCTACCCAAATTCATTCCAAAATAACATCAAATGTCAAATCGATGACCAGCACTCGCCAAACTCGCACAGGTACAAGGCAGTCTTACCTTCCATGAAGGATACTACATCTGCCAGGCGATTCGTGGGGCAAAGTTACTCACCGCGCTTGACCTTGGTACGTGACGTCTCTTACCTTGACTTCGCTCCCGTGATCCTTTGACATGTTCCACAGCACTCAGGAAGTTAACTCCACACTTGCGGACACTGAGAACATGCGATGGACCGTCACGATATGTGCTCATCGGATGGGGACACATTGCCAAACGTGCACCGCCGACTTTTCTGTATCCCCGTGAACTACCTACAACATGAATCTCTTTGTTAAGCAGACAAGATCTGGCAGAGACCCGTCTCTGAGCTGTAAATCCAAGTATTGCAAATCAATATGAATGTAAAATGAAATGCTTTGAGCCGGTGGCAGTAAGTTGTATCTGCTCGTTAAGAGCACGATGACTGATTGTTCTTTGATGGTATGGCATGTTATTTAGGTGCGGAGATCATATTCGATGTCCGTTTGGAGACTTATGGACTTTTAGTTTGTTCCTAGCGGCCCGGGGACGCGACGCCACTTGGACGCACTGGAGTGAAGTGTCCTTGTATTAGTGGTTGGACACATTCATTGGTGTGCTCTCCCGTTCGATGTGTTTATGTTGATAAATCTTATCAATTAGATTGTCGAGTATGCAATTTTCGATGCCACTGACTGTCGGCAGTATCTATCAGATCCATGTGCACGAAGAACATACTCAGACAAAGGGGAAAATACTCCGACCTAATTGATCATCCCCAAAGCCGTACGAGCAAATATCCGGGTGGCCTGTTGTTGTTGCATTGTTCGTTGACAGAATCAAAGGATACATTCCTTTGTATCTGTGCCGCTTAGTCTGGGTAACAAGTTATGTTGCAAGCGAAAAAAGGAAGAAACGCATCCAAGCCATATTCACGAACTGCAGTGGCAAATATTCCAACAGTTTAAATACTGTCATTTGTATCCTTTTCATCTATCGCATTTTCCCTTCCACATCTGCTATCAAATTTGTGCACTGAGTTACTCTTGTACACTTACTTCGCCTGCTGTCGCTCATCTGGTCCTTGCACAGGCTAGCGGCTCGCACCACTGACAATATTTCACTCTGACCTTGTTGATCATCGACCATGGATCAGCACGCGGCTCAAATGGGCCAGTCATCGATCCTGGGCCCATCCCACCCCGAGTTTCAACACCACCCCGAGTTTCAACCGCACCTCCAGTATCAACCGCGCCTCCATCGACCCTACCCCCAGCATCGACTCTTACCCCAGTATCAACTCCATCCCCAGTATCAAATACATCCTCAACGTTTGGGACCTTACCCTCCGGAGTTGAACCAAGTTGGATACCAGCCCGTTGCACCATGTAGCGCCGTCTTCCTACCCACCCGGGGAGCTCAGTGCAGCAGGCGCAGCACCGCCGCGTTTCTCACCATAAATATCCCGATTTTGTGAGTCTAACATATTTCTTTGGTTCTCGTTATCATGCTGAAGGTTGCTTCATCAGGAACGTGTCGATCGCAGCGGCGAAGTCGGGTATAAATGCCCCCTCTTGCACTGCCAAATGGAAATACTGGGAGCCAGCATACGGAAACATTGCATTCCGCCTCACATGTATGATGATCTCTTAATTATAGCACGAACAAGTCTGGACCTTCTTTCAGACTGCCTGGAAATTGCATGGGAGTCCCGTACAGACACAGACGTCAACAACGAACACTCCCCACCTCCCTGGAAAACCCAAACTCTGACGCTATCTGGTAAGGCAGAGAGCGTCAGACCATGGGAGTTCCTGATGGGTACTTCCCATGGATCTGCTTTCGTTGCTTCGATCCTTCACCTCGCCTCCAACAACACGTCCAACAACACCCCATGGGGACCCCTCACGGACATCCCCCAGGGATGGGCTGGGCTTATTGACCCTTGTTGGCTTGCCCATGATCTGATCTATGCTCAAATGTACGACCTGCCTCAGTGGATGGAGCGCACTCCATGGGGTTCTTTCCAGAAGCTTCAAACAGTGTCATTGGCCTATGCGCATGTCAGACGCCCTTTCGATTCATCCGCATTGATCACAACGGGATCGCCCTTGCATGTGGAGGTGCTGATGTTGTCTGCATCCTTGCTGCGCCACCCTGTTCCGTGGGTGGCGAGTGGGTTTATCAAGAGGGGTCCCGGAGAGGAGTGTATTGTGTCGGATGATGTTCGTTTCAAGGTGTCCCGTTCTCGTTTACACTTTAGGTATGCTCGTGAAGATTGGCAGAAGGTTTGGGCATGCGGATTTGGGCGTTATGATTCTAAAGACGACTAGGGGTGTTATGATATGGCTGATATTGTATATATGATTCTAAAGACGACTAGGTGTGTTATGATATGGCTGATATTGTATATATGATTCATTGTATATAATAGCATTGTGTTTAAAATAATAACTCGGAAAATACAATGTTTGCAGAATCTTGTTCTTCGTTCGTCTCCGTAAATATGGATAGTGTCTCTCCGTGTCCTTACTCTCGATAACGCTGTATATAATTGACCGTGAGCAAAGGGGTCAGTGCGGAGGTCGAGAATAGTCGTTCGTGCACGTCCAACACATAGATACCATCTTCGGCGGAAGCTGTATTCGCACCAAACATAAATACATTGACACGGAGATCACCACTGTCTGAAGTGGCGATGAATTCGAATCTGTTGTATCGCCAGAAATTCTTTTCTGCAGAGCGCCATAGTGCAGTGCGCACAAGGAAATAGGAGAACGCAGAGCAACGAACCAACTATCATCGATTTTCATCGGCTGACTAAGTATAGCAGGGCAATTGCATATACGTAATCACACTCGTGTTCATTATGTCTCTTTGACGTCCTACCACTACCGATACTGAAGAGTCGGACAATAATTTCACTGAGCAATATGACGTGAATTATTCAAATGCATCGGTACAGACCAACGGCAAAAATGCGCGTCAGCATAGCATGACGGGGTGGACACAATAGCCCACCGAACCGCCGGTTATCAAGCTTAAATATTGTAGATTAGTACATACATCTAGCTATAAGACAATATTATACCCTTTTACTATCTCTTGCCCAGAGTTGCAAAACTTTTGACCCGTTTTTTATAACACAACAACTACACAACATTAAAATAAAGCAACAACATGAGCAAGTAGGATTCAGTACATACTAGTGGTACTCAAAATAAAAATTAGAAATGTTTGAAAGCTCGCTGAACTCTGACTAAGGCTTTCAACTCGTGGCTAAGCGGCTTCCAACACTTCGGCCGCTGGGACTGCAATTGAAGGTCAGGCCGGCATCGCTGGCAGAGTTTCAAACAACCATGCCTCCTTCTCGCCAATGTGTACGCCGTTCTGCACGCTTGAAAGCTAACCCTCTAGTGCGTTGCTCCAGGTCGATGGACGACGAAGGTCCAAACACTTGCGGACCAGCCAAACCCCCTCCAGAACAGCATGTACCCTGCCTGACTATCCAGTGGCAGAGCGACCGTGCTCTTACCGACATCCTCGTCAACCATCTCTCCACGCACCCCGCCGATTGCAGAGTACTTTTCTACTCTGACGGCAAGAAAGCGATGGCTGCCGTTGATGATGGTGCCTCGGGCTCGGACAAGGGGCAGGTGTATGGTACCCTGGCCAAACTTATTTTCACTGACCACCCGAGGTATGGTTACGCGTTCGCCACCAACGCAAAGAAGTTTCGTGACGGAGTCTGCAACCGCATCCAAACGTGAGTCGTTCCCGTTTTTTCTTCCGTTACAAAAAATACTGAAATTTATGTAGACTTAGGGGGAAATACAAGAAACTCAAGGCATCTTTTGACAGTACTGGCGCTGGTGTGATGCCTGGTGAAGGCACGCAAACGAAAAATCTTTTGGGTGAGTCCTCGTTCCTTATTTTCTGGTCCTTAGCTGATGTGTTTTGTAGATGCAGCGCTCTTAGAGCTCCCATGGTATATGGAACTGGATGCCATTTGGCATTCCAATCCGTCCATGGCTGCGAAGACTCACTCATCAAGACCTGGCGTCGATCACGCCAGCGCGTTATATTCCTTGGTTGGACGACATGCTGGGGCTGGTCCCCCCATGCAACTTGACACCAGCGCCGGTCCCCCCATGCACATTGATACCAGCGCTGGTCCCATGCAGTACCCTCAACCGCCTCCTCAATATCCCCCGCCTGATATCCATCCTTCCAGCACTCCGCCCTCGCATTATGGCCAGCACTACTATCCCCCAGCAATGCCTTATGCTGGGGGTTCACACGGTGATCCCTCCATCGATCCAACACTGCAACATCCTGCTCCTGCTCCTGCATTACCCTCCGCTGCCCCTTTGCCCTCCGCTGGCCCTTTGCCCTCCGCTGGCCCTTTGCCCTTTGCTGTCCCCTTACCCTCCGCTGCCCCCTTACCCTCCGCTGCCCCCTTACCCTCTGCAGCCCCCTTGCCCTCCGCTGTCCCCTTACCCTCCGCTGCCCCCTACAATCAGTCTTCTCAATTCCATCTCCCGGCCTTCCAACATCAGATGACGACATGGACATGGACTTTCAAGGCACCGGTGGCCCATTGGATGCCCCCCTCGAAGGTGATGAGAGGGCCGATAGCTCTTCCAAAGTCGCTGGGAAGAAGCGACAACTTCCTTCGTCGCCGTCTCCCCCTCCCGATGCTCCCAAACCTTTCGCTATGCCAGCAGCGTCCCCATCATCTGTCTACAACAGCCGCTCGGCATTTGGCCTGAAGAAGCCACCGAGCCGCGGTAGACACCGCAGGCTGCCATCGGAGATCTCTATCAGCACGTCAGCACCTTCGTCCACGACACGCAATACTACCCCGTCGTCGGACTACCTGATGTCCTCGACCCCCCAGACTTCGCTTCCACATAGCGCCGGCGGCTCGAAGAAGAAAAAGGCCAAGTCGGACGTGATGCAGCAGGTTGAGGAGGTGAGGGATGAGATCGCGTCCATGCAATCTGATGCGATGTCGCGCCATGACCACAAACATCAACGCTATCTCGCGAAGCTCGAGGCGAAGACAGAACACACCCGCAACATCAAGAAGTACGAGTGGCTTCGTGCCACGCGCGAGCACGAGACCTTCCAGGCTACTGTCAGCCATCAGCGTCTGCAGGAGTCGAAGGATAGCGACATCCGCCTTCGCGAGGCCGACATCCGAGTCTACGAAGCGCATTCATTGGTGCTCGACAAGGAGGCGGAGACTCTTTGACTCAAGATCCAGTTTCAGCAAATGATGCAGGCGAGCAAGGGCCCAGCATCAGATGGAGTTGAGTGAGCTCTCGTCGTCGTCGTCTCGTTGCCGTTGCCGTCTCATTCTCATCATCATCTCATTCTCGTTCTTGTTCTTGTCGTCGTCTCATCATCTTATTTGCTGTTGTTGTTTCCATTGGACTTATGTGTTTTCAGTTTTGTTGCTACCTTCTGTGATTGAGTACATAGCTATATACATTTGTTGTACAAGTCTGTTAGTAGTATTACATGTTCAAAAGCATTGATCATCCTTCCCTATGGTGTGCATCTGAGTGAGGACTGTTAAAGAGCTCATCGATCAACTTTGCACGAGCAGCTTGACCAGGAGTGCCATCATATGTCCTGTCACCAACTACTTCTTCACCTTCTGGACCCTCAATCTCTTGATCAATGAAATCTTCCCCTCCGTGCGAGCCCACTTTAGAGAGCTCTCGTATGTTCCATCCTCCTTGCGATGCTCGATTTCAAAGCGAATGATCATGTTGTGCAGGATGATGCAACACTTGATCCACTGCACAGCAAACTCGAGGTCTTTCTCAGCCTGAATTCTGAACCGTAGCTCTCGAAGGGACTGGAACCGTCCCTTCAAAACAGCAAATGTGTGTTCAACACGAACATGAATCTACATAAATAAAAATCAATTGAAAAGCACTAAAAAAAAAAACATACCTTAGAGAGGTGATAATTGAATGTCTTCTGGTCCCTTGTCAGCCGTCCGTTGCGAGGCCTCTTGAAAGGGGCGATACACCATGGTTCCAATGGGTAAGCGCTGTCTGCCCAAACCCAATGACCATCAGGCATAAGATCAGCGTGCTCGTCATAGAGGCAAGTGGATCGAAAAGCAAATGCATCATGGACACTCCCGGGATGACCAAGAGAGTAATCAACAATCAGGAGGTTATGGGGCAGGATGACTGCCTAGAATTAAATTAATTTTTACACATGAAGACAAAGAACAAAAATGTTACCTGACAGCCAAGGGAATAATTGGACTTCCTATCATAAAATGTCTCACCGTAATAACCAGGTTTCGTGAACAGATTCATAGTCGAACCATCGATGGCTAGAAAGCCACCTTTCCACTCTGGACAAGTACGTGACTCGGCAAATTTGCGAGCCAGGTCAGCGTCCTCAGAATTACCTGCTGGGAAGCAGATAAACTGATCATGGGCATCAAGCACCGCAATCATCACACGATTAGTGCAATTAACTACGGACCCGACACTCACGCCTGCCCATTGAGCGACATCCTCGAGAGAAATGGAATTGCCATAGTGGCCTGCCCGATTCAGAAAGATGGCGAGCTGGATGGAGACAGGGAGCTGAGGATTGTTGGACTGGTTCTGGAAGATAGGGTGATTAGATATATGATTGAGGATGTCATCAAAGATCTCCGGGTTGACACGAAGTTTCTGCCGAAACAAGTGAGGGCGGTGTTCCTCGTGGTGAACCAGCATGTGGAGTTGAGATGCTCGTGGAGGAGGCTCGTCAGGCTTGTGGAGTACATGAGCCCTCATAACCTCATCACGAAGAGCATTGATGGTGTCTTGGAGCCTGTCGTAAGGCAAAGCGACGTCATCAGAAGATACAGAACTGGTATCAGAAGAATCTGAAGTCGCTGAAGTCGCTGTGATAGGGGAGTCGGGGGACATGGGGGAAGGAGATCTTAAAGACAGACTGATTGAAACATCATCGTCTGAAGGAGTAGTAGAAAGCGAGTCCTCGGAGCTGGAATCACTCTCAAAGTCTGACCAGTCCTCTAGGATATCCTGGTATCGTAACCTGGCCAAAGAAAGTTCGGCCTGATCCACGGTATTCAGGAGCTCTTTACGAGTGGATGGACGAGGCATAGTTATGGTGGGGGGCTATGGTGCGTGTGGGATCAAAACTCCTATCTGCGTGTATATGTGACGCAGTTTTCAGCGGAGTTTGAAATATCGGAAAGTTCCGAGGCTTCGTCTTGCACTGAGCACGCCGTTGTCGTTGTCGTTGTCGACCTCACCCTACGAACCTCGATGCCCATCCACAGCGCTGAGAAGGCCACCATCAAATTTTCGGGTGCCATCCACCCAAGGTAAGTCATTTTTGTGTGTAGTTAACTAACATTTACTTTTATTTTATAGGAAATCTATTATAATCCGGATCCCACACAGATCCCACCTGACCAGCGGCGCCTCGCCCTTACCGGCAAACGGCCTGTCCACCTCCCGCATCCTTATCTGTCTCTACGGAGGCACCCTCACGTTGGAGATGGAGTCATCGGACACCATCGACAACGTGAAGGCGAAGATCCAGGACAAGGAGGGCATCCCAACTGACCAGCAGTGTCTCACCTTCGCTGGAAAGCAGCTCGAAGATGGCTGTACTCTCAGCGACTACAACATCCAGAAGGAGTCCGCCCTTCACTCGATCTTACGTCTTCACGGAGGCACGCAGATCTTCCTCCCAACGCTTTTCATCCCCCCCCCCACTGCTCAGCATCCCCCTGTCCTCAGCGACTACAACATCCAGAAGGAGTCCGCCCTTCACTCGATCTTGCGTCTTCACGGAGGCACGCAGATCTTCCTCCCGACACTTTTCATCCCCCCCCCGCTGCTCAGCATCCCCCCCTCCTCCGCTCGGCACTTATTTGGTCCCTCCTGTGCTCCCTACCTACAGCTGATTTCATTCCCGTGGGCCTTGTTTTTTTTACAATTTTATTAATGCTTTCATTGAAATACAATTATGTTGGACCGCTACTCTACCACTTTCCCCTATGTACATAGCACGCTTTGAAAATCACAAGTGTCGTTTTAAAGTCCGACTACATGCCGACGTGTGCCGAGCACATTTCTCTCGGACTTGCGCGAGTTCTTTCAAACTTTAAGCGGGGAGTTGAAGGGAGTTGAACACAGTTTAGCGATTTTTCAAGAGTTTCAAAATTTATTTTGAGTACCACTACTGTAAGGCTCTGCAAAAAAAAAATGTAGAAAAATGTTGAGGCCACGTTGCCAGAGAGAAGCCGGTGCGAAACAGTGTTTGAGCACAGAGTTGCAAAAATTCTCACCCGCAAAGAAGTCGTCGCGTCACACCATGTCACACCGCCGCTTTTACTCTCCGATGCCGTCAAGCACAATTGAGCGAAAATGGGTCCCGAATTGTGCAAGTATTGGCCGAGTTGCCGAGCAGCGATTTGTGACTCCGAACGCAATCTCACTCCTCTTGTCACGGATTGCATCTCGATGGTAATACATTTGTGTCTCTTAACACTACTTAGTTATCGTGTCAGAAAAAATTAGGATGATATAAGAAGGCAATGGGAAACCACTAGTGAAATTCCTGAATTTTTTGATGCATGTGGTGGCTTCACTCTGATGGATTGGCGTGGAAAGTGCACGTTCTGAGCAGTGTTTCACTGCCGCAAGCACTTCTCGTCTATTTTTCATAGAATAAAAAATACACGCAGTTAGCTATGGATCAATCATCCTCTAGAATCATTGTGCTAAGGAAATAAGTGAAAGTTGATTGTGCTACATCGTGATTTGCAACTCCGGGCCATTTTGCAACTCTGGGCAAAAGATAGTACTATAAAACGAAACTGTGCGAGTACAAGGAATTGCAATGAAATCTCTACCACAACAGAATTTAATGTAGCCATTTATCTATCGACTTGTACCACACGATGATGGGAGGAATATTAGGAAATAGGAGTTTCGATTATAATAATGCACATTATGATGGTGTACCCACTAATATTCAGGTTCAAGTGATAAGTGTACCAATATTGATCTTTTCACGACTTAACCTCTGGTGTCCTTGCAACTGCCTTCCTGAACATGGCCATTCATGTGTCGAGTGAAGAGCATGTTTCTCCGTTGTGAATCTATAAAATGACCAACATCAGGCCTATAGCACACGAGGAGAACTCACCGCGCCTTCAAACTCATCCGGAAAATCCCTCCTTCGCACTTGACTACCTAATGGTTTCGCTCGTGGAGACCAGCCATGGCTGTAATGAAAGCAGCTGCGTTGAATCAATCTGTTGTTGGTCGTACACACAACAAATAAGACTGAGATTGCCAGCGTTAGCGAAGCGCGTGATGTGATGAATAACAGTTGGTTAACTCAAGGGCGTCAAACAGCAGAATGCTCGGATCCGATCAAATTGAGGGAAAGATTCAAGATGTATATACCAAACAACAACAAATAGTGATATGCTGATTCACGCTTCAACTTGGAATCCCGTTTTCCACCGAGTTCTGTTCTAACTCTATGCTGTGTCTCTTCTTTCAATGTTCATTTCAACGATGTTGCGATATATTTTCTTGCATTCAGTTAACTCGCCCTCTTTGAGTTGCACAACAATATTTCGCGGCTCATCTACACTGACTCGGAGTCCCCCTTTGCGTGTGCACTGTGCTCCAAAGTTACTCTATCTCTCAATCTCAACAAACCATCCCTCATACACTAATTCAAGCAAACTTGCTCGTATCAAGAAGCTGAGTTTCAAATCACTTCACCAACACATTTATGGGCCGATGACAACTTCTTCCCTCCTTCTCATCTTTTCCCCCAGATGACCTTTAATATCCATGGTCAGATGGGCGAGATATCCCCGCTGCAGGTGTTGCGAGTACATTATTCCTCTTGAGACCGTGCCATCTCATCCACTTATGGCGGCCGCCCTTATTTGGTGATTCTTCTTCTCCTCTTTTGAACTCTCATCCCTGCCCGCTGATCCTATTTTAGCTAACAAGTTCACGCCCATGTTTTAAAACTGGCTATGTACCTGGGAGGTCGTGTACCGCGCTCGTTCTGACGCTGACGAATTGAGGTATTGGACATGCATTCCGTATCGTGCATCCCTCACCGCCCAACCCACAGAGCAACATCCATCCCGTCAATCTTCCTACTCGCAGCTCCTACTTCTTTGATTATATCATTGCATTTGGGATGTTTGAAGATAGTGATGATTTAAATCATTGCTAGATTTGAATCACACCAATGCACACTTTACTCGTCGCTATGCCTGTGCTCCTGTGCTCACGTCTAAGCTCAGATGGGCGAGATTCTACAATTTTGAGCACTGTCGGGGCGTTTTATTTGACGGTCCTTGCTGGCAGTATCATGACTTTGGATACAGCATGCTCAGGCATATACCACTGTCATAACTCTGGTCAGTGTTTTGAGTGATGCCACTCCGCCTGCCACCACTGACGCTGATCGGTTGCTCACAAGTATGTTGTACCACATTTCAAATTAATGCTCACATTAAATGTATCTAGGTGATGGTGCATGCCTCAAGCTGTCGTTTGTGCATTTGTGAGGCATTCTGATGCGCATTTATACGGAAAAAATCCAACTAGCCAGCGCTAGCAAGGCACATGCCACTCCACTGGTGGTCAGTTACAAGTAAGTGCGTGTTGCATCTTATCCTAAATGAATACTATTAAATACATTCAGGTGATCTCGTACACCTCAACCTGTCGTTCCGGCGCTAGTAAGTTGGGGGACTCGACCTGACCCGTTGGTGCTAGTGGTGCATGCCCAATTTATGACCTGGATGCGCAGTCTATTATCTGCCTGCCAGTGTATTCTTCTTCGCTCGTTCCTCTTCTCTTTTTTTGTACACTCAAGTGCCTCTCAAACAGTTATTGTGACTCCGCCTTCCGATGCTGAGGTGCATATCTGTCGTTCTGACGCTGGTGGGTTGAGTCGAGCTGTTGCTGAAATACACACAACAAATACGATTCAACTTGCCAGTGTTAGCGAAGCACGCAATGGATGGCGTGGACGTCCTCTCAAATAACTCTTGGTTCGCTCCAGGACGTCAGACATTATAATGCTTGGAGATCGAACATCGAGACTATGACCTGTTACCTGGGGATGGCTATTGGCGTGCCTTGTGCCGAGCAGGTCTCTGATGAGTAGACCAAAGTTTGCCATTCGTTTTTCAAGATGTGGGCTCATGGCACGGTCTTATCCAATGGCGGGTGTTGAGTGCAGAGCATGGTTATTCCAGTCTTCTCTGGAAAGTAGACAGTTTCTACCGCTCTTCAGGACGCAAAGGCTCGTTCTTCTCAATCATAACCGCACTGCTCATTTTCTCATCAAATCCCTTGACCTTTCATCACTTCCAGGCATACAAGCCGAAACCAGGAAAAGAATCGCGAAGGCGAGTACATCAGTTTCATTGACACCTCGATTCATTCTCAATCATGCTGCTATACGATGCATTCGGGTGGTAGCGCACACTGTCGTTCTGGTGGTATCGGAGTCGGGTGTCCATGGAATTGCACAGGACACCCAATCAAACTCGTCATCACCAGGGATGCACATCTCACACAGTCTACATGACTCCGATCATCGATGACAACCTCCATGGTGCCAGCTGCTGTTATCGTTATCGATGCATGCACTGGCTACTTAATCGCGCTATTCTCTTTCACAGCATATGCCGTCAGTTTTGATGTTGCTCCCAAGGCTTCCAGTTTCCTACAAGCAGATGCATGGTAATGACAATCTTGAATCTTGCAGATGAGGTCAAAGATGAACAAATAGGCCACAGAAACATCCTCGTGTCTGTCACGTTGTGTGTGCACATCCTCAGAACAGTTTGATGTGATCATTGTGATGGGATGAGGAAAGGCGGACTACGTAAATGTTCACTCGGCCAAAACAAAATCTACGAGCAAGCCACGTTGGATGCCTGCAGATTGATGGTTTAGCACTGATTGTAACTTTGATCATGACTATGAGCTGAGAAGCAAGTGTGATGAAGGGAAGGGCGCAGGCTGCAATGCACAGTTTCCCATGCAGAGGGGGCATGTTAGGGTATATATATATGCAAGGCGCCTCCAAGGCCATCAGCTGCACTCATTCAAGAATACATCGCTCTTCAAGTTCCTCGTTGCTGAAGCGCTAACATTTCGGTAACACCAAAATCTCATTTGGACTTCCAACGCAAATGAACTGATGTTTGGCTTTACCAGAAGGCCCATCTTCGAATCGCTGCCCAATTCAGTCATAAAGCGCACTAACACCAGGAGAACTCACCTTTGAACACATCCAACAACTACCACTCTCATACTTGACTACTTCACGGTTTCGCTCGCGGAGACACAGCCATGGCTTCCACATCGAGGAAGGCAGGCACCACGAAATCAATTCTGAAACCAGTAATGACTTTGAAGGGTCATGGAGAGTACATTCGATGCATATCCTACTTTCCTGACGGCCAGCAAATGATCAGCAGATCTGATGACAAGACAGCTTGGCGATGGGATTTGATGGCGGGCAAGGAGATCGAGGAAGCACGGGGTGTTTGCGAAGAGGTGGTATATGCGGTAGCAGTATCAAGGGATGGTCGACTGGTTGTCACTGCTGGAGGAGATTTTGACTTTCGTCCGGAGCTGAAAGCCTGTGAGGTTCAGACGGGGATGATGAAAACATTTGAAGGCCACTCAGGGAGGGTCACCTGCATCGACATATCTGCGGACAGCAAGCTACTGGCGAGCAGGTCATTCGATTGTACAACATGGATATGGCACTTGGACACAGGAAAACTCGTGGCTGGTCCGTTTTGGAGCTTTGATTGGGTGGGCGCGGTTCGATTCTTGACAGATTCAAAGAAGCTCGCAATAAAGTCACATTTGGGAAAGTGCCTTGAAGTCTGGGATGTTCAATCGCAGAAATTGGATGTGATGATAGAGAAACAAGGTGGACACCGATTCACATATGCGCCGGTGTTCTGGACAAACAAAAACAAGAACATCTTGGCCGCATTCACCTTCAATGACGACCCCACCAAAACAATCTACGAGTTCGACGTGTCCATGCTGGAGCCTGTCGGAACTCCTTTCGAAGGGCACACCAAGTTTGTCGCTGGCATAGCACTGTCTTCCGACTACACTCTCCTCGCCAGTGCTTCCTACGACAATACTATCAAGCTCTGGGCCTTCGAGTCCCGCCAACTCCTTGCTTCCTTCGACGTCCAGAATCCTGACACCCTTGTCCTCTCACCCAACTCGCGCAAGCTAGCTTACATGGTATTTACCTACAATGATAACAAAATCTACATATGCAACACTCCACCCAATGTGCTTGCCCAGGCCCGCCATGTACGCATTCCCCGCAAACATCTACTGTTAGTGTGCTAATATTCCCTTACAGACCAGTGCACATAAAAAGTCAACCCTCAATGATCTACCAAATGTATGCCTCTCATTCTTTTACTCGTGACAGCACTCATCCGTCACTATCATTGCAGTCTGACGCACTTCGTCGTCATCCTCCTGCCGTGCGCTGCAGACCACCGATACCTGTCATACCAATGACCCAGAGACCTCCACCTACAATAAACCCGAAGCAACCTATTTCACTTCGCCTCCGCCAACTTCTTCGCTTCTCTCCTCAAATGAATGCAGTGCACCCTATTCAACCTCGTAATACCCTAGATGTAGGTCATTCATAGATCATCTCAGTTCTTTCACATTTGACTTGACAATGGCTCTGTCGGAGCAGGCCGCAACTCGATTTAATCGCATCAGTGTTCAATTTTATCAAACTCGCAATGCATGACCGAGTGCGTATTCAGTTTGAAATAAGTTCTCCACCTCCCCCGTCGAATGGTCCAGTCAAACAGTTCCTGCGACAGCACATTCCTTTCCTCGTGCCAAGTCACGGTCACATGCCACCAGACGTTGAAGTCGCACCAGGGCGGAAGTTCACTGTAACTTGCATCTTCTTTGCTGTCATTACCCCTTTGCTCATGTGTACCCATAGCGGCTGGCTGCTGCCAATCTACCTGAATACAAAAAAGTAGACGACACCCGACATCCGCCTCAGGCTGGAGAGCCACCGCAGGATATTGACTCATCTGACAACGATTCACTCCCAGACGTGCACTGGTGCAAGGTGTTCCTGTGCTACTATTCATGCTGTTCTCATGGCAGAATAAGGATGCCTCCTCGGTGGCGCTTGGTGCGCGTTGATATCCCTCGCCAGAACAGCACGACAAATGGCAACCGTAGTAGTGCTCGTGGTCGCGGTTAATTTTACGTGCACTTACCTACTAATGTATCCTCCATAACTGACGATTTCCCACTTGTATACAAATTTCATGCCATTTACAATATTCGGTGCATCTGCCAAAATCCATCATAGCATGACCTTGAATGATTCAGATTACTATCCTCACGCGTGCTCATCTTAGCTGACATTATCCCCTGCAGAAGATCTGGTCAAGATTGAAATGGCCCTTTCTATATATCAGTCCTTTCATGAAGTATCTCGGACATCACCTGCCCTGCCCTGATTCAATGATGAAATATGTGCTTCCCATCGCACGCTAGTCTCGCAGGGATCATTTCGACTTTCTACCACTTCTGCCCATGACTGTAGTGCAATGGTCAGGGACTCCGTCGTGAAGATTGGTCACGGTATTGAAGCTTGGCGTGCTCTCTTTTGCCTTCGGTGCATCTCATTTTCACCATGGTCCTCTGCAAAACAATCTGTGTCCGCTATATTGAGGTCATCGCAAATGTACATGGGCAAGTCTACTTCTGGAAAAACCCAGGTATGGTAGGAGCAGGAGACGTGACGTGATATCAAGTATATCGCACTTATGTATATGATGCCAAAGATGATACAACCGCAACATGGTAACATGCAGGTAGTATTGTGTCGGGGTTGATGGATCAGTGTTGAGTGAAACGAGCCGGGCTCTGGTGAGTAGTATAGTGTTGTCACTGGAGTTCGCTGAGCGCTGGTCACGGCTATTCACTACAGAACATTTCTCCAACACCTCAACATGCACTGTATGAGTGGATCAAGAATAGACGAACGAAAATATAGCTGAAAGTAACTTGAGAAACCCATACTCATCAGCCACGACATCGCGGATGTGTGTGTTTCAAGAAATGAACGCCAGCGCTTGAGCGGGCGACCTGTAACTCCTGCTTGAAATGGCTGCTATTTTATCGGTGTGTGAGGCGACAGATGCAGCATGTGAAGAGTGACTCGGTGCAATAGACCCATCGGATGCATTTCGGGGTTGTCATGCGATTGGAAGAGACTGTAGTTGTTGATAACGATGAATGTGTGGTGTTAATCGCTGTGGGTAAGGGCATCAAGAGGAAACATTCAGAAGTCTTGATAGTTCCACTGATGCTTCTGTCGTCGATGAAGTGGAAATATTCGAGAGGTCACCCGTGTCGAATGTGGGCTTGAGTACTGATCCTGTGGTTTCCCTGAATAGACCAAAGACGAGTGGAGTTAGCCAGCGTTTTTGAATTATATGGTACTCACTGAATGCATAACGCTGGCAGCTAATGACACAGTGAATATTGCCTGGAGTAGTAATGTCGTAGCTCGGTGCAGGTCCGCTCGGGCTCAGGCTTTCCCGGTTTACTGGTAGTTTGGCTGTCCCCGCGCAAAGTTAAGTTTGGAACTAGGCTGTGGGTGTTGGAGGTGCCTCGGAAGGTGCGATGACTGCTGTTGAACAGGTAGAGCAGGCCGAGAAGAAAGGTCTAAAGCAGGTGCAGAGTTTCAAGCAAAGCGTCGAGCACAAGAAGCTGAAGGAGGAGAAGCAGAGGGGGCGGCAAAGTTCGGCATTCGATCTGTAATCATTGATGGCTGATACACGTCCCTTAATGAGGCTCTAGTTTGGCTATATTTTTATGTTCTTCGGTCTTTATAATGATATACGTGAGCACATGAATAAACGGGCAAGGTGTACAAGATGCTGCGATGATTACTACTCCCGCTTCCTCTTGAGGTTGCTACGAGCGTTTGTACCTTGTATAATGCACAACGGTCCCTTCTCGAGTGCCTCGTGTTCTGTAGTATCATGCCAAATACAGTCGAGGGTATAGGACGAGGCGATGTGATCTCCGCGCTGTCCCCACACGACACTGCAATGATGCCCGCTTTGGTAAATTAGTAAGTAAATTTTGAATTGCCTGATGACATCGCTCACATCATCGGTCCAGCCTTATTTGTAGCGATGACAGTGCTGTCTGAGCCCCGCAGCATATGGCTAAAACATTAATAAACCTCTGCCGATATGAATGGACATGTACGTGCACCTACATCTCACCATCATACATCCCAAATACTAACAAGTTTCTGCCCGGTGTTCGATTGAAATTAACAGTGCACGGAATCGTAGTGGAGAGTTCAACACTGAAGATTGGTATCAATGGTCCTTTGAAGTCGAATGCCCATACTTGAACCCATCTGTCGCATGTTCCAGTTGCAATACGAGTATCGTCGCCGGTATGGTCATATGTAAGGCACATAATCTCTTTACCCGTTCCGATCCATCTTGATACTTTTGCGTTGAAGTCCTCCAACGTGGACGCTCCTCAAACACTGTTCCTAATCGACAATGTGATGAACAGATTTAGCTTGCATCAATTGGAAGATGGAGCATGCCTCCGTACCTACAATACTAATCCAGTGAAGACATTTCCAAAACAGGTTGTTTTTGGGGAACAGGCCACCCTTGTTGTTGGAGGCAGTGACACAGGGAAGATTCATATTTTTGACAAGAATGAAGGCAGCATTAAGCAAGTACTGCAACACGCGGACAGGGGGCGAGTACAAACCGTAACAGTGAGTTATTTTCGTCAATCAATGTAACATCAGTTTGACAAAGTGCAAGACGTATGATAGCACACACCACAGCCTGATTTTTGGAGCAACATCTACCAATGACTCAGAGCCGACAATCTCCATCTGGTGTCGCAAACGTGAGACATCAGCAAGTGACCATCCTCTGGGGACGGCGATCAAGAATTTTGTGCGTGGAATAGTCCAGCTAGCTATCACAATGGCGATCATGGCATATGTTAGTGTCATAAAATGGGATGCAAAACACGCACTGACTTACCGGAATCCAGTTGATTGGACAAACATCGGGGATCACATTGCTGGGAAATGCCTGGCGAGAGTATTCAAAGCCGGGGGCTCAAACGGATGAGCTAACGAATGCTGACATCTGTTCCTTGGTAGAACAGTACATTGAGGCACAGAGGGGTGAAGAACTTGAGAGAGCGTGAAGCTCATGAATGAATAGAAGACATGACGGACGATCGAAGCTTGTAAAGCCGCAAGAAGATATGCTACATGCGGTCATTCTTCTCGGAAATTGACGATCTTGAATTTATAAGTATGCACCCATAAGTATGTAGCGACAATCTGAAGTTAGACGTGAAGTACTTCAGAGAAGTACGAGCGACAATTGTTAGGTGTGAAGGTACTGCAGCGGCAACCTGAATTTAAGGCGTGAACTACTATTTCAGTTTGAAATAAGCACGTACTTACTATACAAATTACATTTTAAGTGGAAAGACGGGGACTATGGTTCACGTTCTGCGTGCCAAGTCAAATTCTACAGTCAAATTCTAAAGTCCTACATACATACAATTTATACGGTACAATATGATAGATATGATCCGGAATACTGATGAACACATTGCAAAAGTGAAAGTCCAAAAGAAAGCCCAGTTTATGGACCGACACTGCCTATATACTGAACGACTACATAATCAAACTCCGCCCGAAATATGAAAGCGCCCACTTTGCGCCCACTTCACAATAGCGCCTCACGGAAAGTTCTGGCGCCGCCAACTGAGTTTCAATGTGTAGTCATTCTCTATATTATATCGCTGTCTTTCCAAATTTGTCTTTTTCCAATTCCCGCATTGTAGTGTCGTACCATATATGCTATCTATTACTGTATTAGCTATAGTGAATTTGCTGAAGTGCAACAAAGAAGAGCGCTATGGTCCACAATACCTCTCATATGCATACAATAGACAATTTGCTGTGTCCATCATCGTCCACAATCTCCACACTCCCAAATTAGTTGTTCCCTATAAATACTGACTTCACGCCTTCATGGTTTTCTTTCCGATACTACAACCTTAACATGACACTACATAGAATAGACTATCAAATATAGTATGTGATGTCGTTATCATAACTCTAAACCATTCTAAACAATATTCTATAGACTCAGAGCACAGAAATCATGTCTAAACATGCTGCATCCATTGATGATGCACCTACCGCGAAGCGCATCAGAATTGACGACGGTGAGTAGCATCATTATATTGCCGATACCGTCTACTCATGAGTTTATCACAGGGAATCAGACAGAACCGCTGGCGGATAAATGTGCCAGGGCAATTCTGGAGCAATTCCTTACCACGGACATGTCATACGCTCAGATGGAAGAAGCTCTTTCATCGTACCTCGCCAACCGATATTCTCCAGACGATTGGAAGGAATCTCGAGATGCGCTATTTTACGGTGACAGTGATGACGACCTCGCCTTGACAAACCTTCGTGCTGTAATGGCGAAGCACATACATCTGGGATCTGCTCCCAACGATTCTTCCTTGGCCGAAAGATGATCATCCAGTGCACACATTCAAAGTTCGCGTAGAGCAGCCAAAGTAAGCAAAAATAACATGATTCTGAAACCTTCATTTACTAATCAGCCACATTATTTAAAAAATCCCTACCTCGATCTGGATGCAGAGGAGGATGCAGAGGAGGAGGATGCAGAGGAGGAGGATGCAGAGGAGGAGGATGCAGAGGAGGAGGATGCAGAGGAGGAGGATGCAGAGGAGGATGAGGAGTCAGAGGCGGAGGACCACGATCACGACGGCCTCTCTGATTTGTGGAAGGTTACATCTATGCCGGGATCATCATCGGCCGCTAGGTTTGCCGCGGTCATCGATGGCATGACACATAGATTTGAGGCGACACAGCGCAGCTCATCGCATGATTACCATGCTATTCCCTCCTCGATATCTGACTTGATCCCTTCAGTTGGATTGCAGGACGGGAGAATGTATCTTCTTCATGTCCAGCGTAAGTCTTTCTATCGACGTAATGACATTGCTTTTCACTCATCAATCACAGGAAATGTCACGGATTATATCACTGCACACCTTCGGAAGAGAAAATTTGACGTCAAGGTTTCAGCTTGGATAGCTGGCCAGCTTTACATGGTGGCAGACAGCCCTAAAACAATTGCCAAGTCGCTTCCCTTCTCGCTCTACCTCGCCGTGAAGCAATATGTTCGCATATCGGATGAGGAACGTGAAGTGGTCGAGTGTTCTTACAACAAGCTTCCCAACCCGACTTGGGTGAGGATAAAGCATGGCAAGTATCAGGGCGACATAGCCCAAGTCTTCGATTCCGATCTACCGAATGGTTTCATTGCGGTCTTAGTTCCCCCACGGGATTTCCCATACCCCATGCCTCCGAGATCTCGGTCCCTACTCGACTGATCCCGCCTTCCGAACGGGAACACAGTCTCCAACATCAATGATGGCGAAGAAGTCGTAGGATTCAAGTTCAAAGGAGAGACATATTACATGGGCCTCCTACTTCACAACTTCCACCGTGATCGCTTGGAACGTGTTGTCTGCCCTCATGCTGACGATATTCAACTTCATTTACAATCCGGGTGGAACCAATCATTCCTTAAGAGGACTGTGGTTGCGTTCTCGATGCAGTTCTTGCATGTAGGTGATTGGGCCAGGATCGTCAAAGGAGATCTTAGTTCAGAAATTGGGGAGGTCACCTCAACCGATCATCCTGCCGGTTCTGCCACCTTGAAATTGATCTTGAGTGGACAGCGAAAGAAAGTCGAAGTTCAATTACAGGACATAGAGCGCATGTTTCAGATTGGCGACACAGTTCGAGTGGTCGCAGGTCCATACTTGGGTGTGGAAGGGTACGTCATTCAGATGGCAGATGATATATTTTGTATTTGTCAAGACATCTCGAAGGAACAGGTGAATGTCTCTTTTTAATTGAGCATTTTGCAAAATCGTCTAATACAGTGCATAGGTGGAAGTTTCGAAACACTATCTAGACCGTTGCCTTCTGGGTCACGCACTGTAAGCACGGCTGCCAACGCAGCAACTTTTCAAGCCTCCCCCCGATATCAAATCTATTCGAATAGGGGACTTCATAGAAGTGCTTATTGGGGAGCACATAGGGAAGTGTGGGATCGTGCGCTGGCTCCCCAAGGGAGGAGATAGTCTGTGGTTCCAGCACGGAACATTGAATATTCCGGTTCCCATTTCAGTTGTTCGGCGGACGCACCTCCCCCACCTCCAGACATTACAGTACATGCAAGACAAGGGTTATGATGTCAAACCTGGAGATGTTGTGAGAGTCGCCCGAGGGCCAGAGTATCAGGCAAAAGGGGTCGTGCAAAGTGTCGACTTTCCAAATGCTCGCTTGACCCTACTCTCCGACATTGACCATTCTCTTGTGAGTAATATCTTCCTCAACCCACACATACCTGACTTCTTTCAGGTTGAAGTTCCCATCTCATTCGTGATAAAAGTATGCAACGCCAGCCTGGATTCTTTCAAAAAGGATATTGGCCAAGAAGTATTCATCATTGGGGGAGACCGTAAGGGCTACCGAGCCATGCTATATAGTTTCACCTCCAAGAATTGCATTGTTGCCGTGCATGGGCAGCAGCGCACCAAGATCGAACCCAAGGACGTTGCAACCAGGTAAGCGACACGTACATTTTTACATTGGATGAAGTGTTCATAGTTATTCAGGTACGGAATGAGGTTAAACAGTGTGATGCTCGAAGGAATAGACATGTTGTCTTTCTGCGAGATGCGGGAAGATCGTACTTAGCCCCCCAACCTTGAAGCGTCACCCCCCCCCACCTGAAAAGGTTCCCCCCAGATTGTCGGTTGCCATCGCAGATCCTAGCACGTCGTCATCCATGTGGACCACCAGCCCCGATAATCCTTTGCCCAGTTTGACTGCCGAACTCAACCCCTGGACTGTCAATTCCGACGATATACTAGATAGTATTGATGCTCGATTGGATAAACTCAAAGAGGGTGAGTCACTCTACGGGATCATCTCTATCATTCATCTGATTTCATCATAGGGCCGCTAGCTTGGCTGATGAAGAAGGAATTTTTTTTCCAGTTCACCACGCATCACGTGATGTTAAAGGTCTTGCCCTCGTTCATGGGAGGCAGGCTACATAACCGATTTGTGGCGACGGCTTGTCCTGATCCTTCCTTGGTCCGAATGGACCCGCCCCCGAGGGTTGTCTTGCAGTGTCTTGCTCATTGAGCAGTGCAGGCGCTGCGATTCAGCACTATCATATACCTGTCACAAATCTGAGCCCAGCTCCTCCCCGCAAAACAAACCAACAGTGCATTGTTCTGGACGGGAGTCATCGCAGTTCCATCTGTAATGTAATTAAGTGCAACCTTAAGAAGAACACTGTAGATATTGCAATTGCTTCGACTGTTATTAATTTGCGTTTCGATCAGATTTGTCTAGTAGAACAGTCACGCACAACTATGTGACAGCACCTATACCATTTACCCATACCATTTACCTATGCCATTCACCCCATATACCAAGCCGTGCCATCATTGCATTACCGTACCGAATAAATCTGTCGTGTCGCGTTCTTCCGTGTACTGAATGCCTGATGGATGCCTTGTGAATGCGCAGCTAGTGCCCATATCATTTTATCATGCATTAAACTTTGCATTTCACATCAGTAAACTACTTGGCGCTGTACAGCGTGCAAGCTCCACAGCTTGGTCCCTGTTAGCCAGTTCACCACAGTAGCACCTTGCTCTGTGAATCTCTGTACAGACATCCACAGAACACCCTGTGAGTCTCTGTACAGAGACTCACAGATCACCCAGTAACTACAAAATTCTTAAAAAAAAATGCTGTCCATGTATGTACAGACGCTCACAGAGAACCGGAGCTGTGCAGATATTGCTCGCTGTACTGCTCACACTATACTGGACAAAAACAAAACAAATATATTCAATCACATGACTAGACAGACGGTACTAGATCGCAATCGGGAACATAGTGATGCAATGGTGCCTAAAGTGATAAATGTGGTGATGAAATAGGGGCGCGGGAATAGAAAACTAGTCGAGAAGAATTTTCAGGTGGTCGTGCTTCGCCTCAACAACTCCTTCGAGATTCAGCGCCGCGGCCCTGTGCAAATGAAATTAGCATAAATAGAAAGTTTTTGGAGAGGGTGGAGATCCTTACCATCCAGCTGCAGCCCATTCTCGCAGTTGAGCTGTCAGCCTCGGACCATGATGCGCATCATCGAGGATATCTTCGAGAAATACGAGCATCTGGTTGTAAATTGGGCTGTAGTCCTTGCTTGAAAAATTCGGGTATGACTTTCCATGTCCGTTTTTCGCAAGGCCGTCGAGAACGCAGTTGAACTAGTATAGAAAAATAAAATTAATACAATATTGGTAAAGGAGATGACTTACCACTGCGGCAACCAAAGCCAAACATGAGAGCGGCAATTGCACACGGAAGATATCTGGCATCCTTTGTGCGATTCAATACAGTCCTGTGTAAAAGAATGTGATGGCAGCCTCACGAAGGGCAGGATGAGCAAAATTTCGCATTTTCCCCTGGCAATCTTCTGTCAGTACAGTTGTGATCAGCGCAAGATCACTCACCTGTTCGTCCACCCCAAACCGTAAGAATAGTGATTCTTTGATTAGTTCAGCAGCCGCATGTTCAATCTAAGTAGCACGTTCTTGAGTGGGGACCGAAAGGGGGGGAATCTCCTCGGATCCTAGCAGCCTCAGACGACGTTGAGCCCTGACAGTGTCATCCTGCTGGCGCAGAGCTGGGTCTAAGTTGTGCTCCAAAAAGACAGACCTCGGAAATACCACTGGATTTTCAGCGACAGCATCGCGGGCTTGCTGCTCAGCGATAGCCTCCCGAGCTCGTTTCTCAGCGATAGCGTCCTGAGCGCGCTGCTCAGCGATAGCGTCCAGAGCTCGCTGCTCAGCGACCGCATTACGAGCGCGCTGCTCCGCGACCTTCATCCTGACGGCGACATATGGGTTATCCGACGCCTGAAGAGTGGTCTCAGCAGTACCGGGATGAACAATGTCTGCAGTGCTTGCAGGAGAAAATCCAAACCTTCTGCCAGGTTGTTGTAATGTCAAGCTGGGCCCTGTGATATCCATGGCTGAGGCATCTGGAGCATTGCTGACGAGTGAGTATGGTGGAGGAACCGCCTATGGGACAATCAACACAAGTGACAAGATTAATCAGACACTTACCTTAGAACCCTTCTTTCGACCTTTATGATGTGGCTCTGGGGCTTGAGGATTGACTGGAACATTGGGACCAAGGGACGTCAGTTCGTGAGTTTGAGGCTTAGATTGTAGCGCTAATCCGATCTTCTCCAGCTGGGCGTTCCTACCTCCAGTTCCTGCGTTAGAGCGGCCAGAACGTCGGGGAGCATCATTTGCTGCTTCTACTCCAGTCAGGCCAAGGGACACAAGAGGTACCATGCTGGGTACCTCAGCGGTGTCTGCAGCCCGTGACTTCTTTGGCAAGCCAGTCTTTGAAGCATCGGATCCTTTGTGCTTGCTCCGTTTCTTCTTGGGACTGGCAACAGCACGGGGAGGCAACACTGCAATAAAGAACAGGAAGATCTAGGCAACGATAACGAATTATACCAGACTCACGAGGATTTTATATCATGTCTCCGTACTCGATATTCGGACGACTAGCGAGAGAAAAACTTCATTGTTAGTAATGATAGTAATAAAGAAACACACCTGAGTCGATGCGTCACAAGAGTTGTGTATCATGACTTGTACTCGATATTCAGATGGGACTAGCGAGAGAAGATGTGCTGCAAATTGACTACAAACACACATCAGTTAAGAAAAAGTTTCTCACCTGAGTCAATTGGACGTCATTCGTGCACATGATGGCATCGCATCAGTCAAGATTCGGAAACATTCAAATTTCGATCACGTAAGCAAAAACATTGTTGATGAGACATAGTAGTACCTGGGGCATGAGCCAGTGCGTTAGTAGTACGTAGAAGAGACTGTCGATTAATGTGAAGAGGAAGAGAACTACTAGTATACTGGTAGGAGCAAACAGTGATGTGCTCGTAGGTGAACTAGTATGATAACAACATAACACAGTACACGAGAATCTAGGTCGGATGCATGCCAGCACAAATCAGTCAATGACGAAAAAAATTTAATCATGATGAGCGGGTGGACTAATCAAATCACCTTTCCCTCCTGGTCATGCGTCACTGCCCGATGTTGAGTCGGACTCAGTGTCGCTATGATGAGACTTCTGCCGCTTAGGCTGTACCACAGTCTCAGAGAAAGACTTTGAAGCAACCTGTTTGCCCTTGACATGATCTGCGAGAATGACAGCATCACCCCTGAGCATGCTCATAGTAGATGCGAGCTCCTCGTCATTGGAGAGCTTGTCAAGATGCGAGTTGAGTATACCAAGAATGGTACTGAAGGTGACGGGGTGGATCATGTTGTCCACCAAAGCTCTACACCACTGTGTTGCGAGGGGGATCAGGTCCTTGAAGTACGGGTGAAATTCGTCAGTAAGACACTTTTCATCTGCTGGATTCGCGAAAAAGGTGATCTTGAAAGCGGTGCATGATGCCAAGTCAAGGCTTGTCCATAGATCCAGTAAGGAATTGGGTAAGGGCTCGCGCACCATGCCGTTGGGACCGCTGAACTTGATGCAAACCCAAGCGAACACAAAAAAAAGGGACTCCAGGTCATCCGCGTAACCTTGAACGACAAATGATATCGGCAGAGACAAAGAATCAGAGGATGATTTCGGGGTTATCGGCTTCTTCACCGATTGCGATTGCGAGTTCGCCTGTTGCTGCAGGATTGCGACCTGGTTGAGAAGCCCGCGTGACATGAAAGGGACTGTGCCCTGGAAAATGAATAAATAAACTGTATATTTAATAAAAAAGGTGTACTTACTGTACCACCAATGGGATATTTCACATACTGCAGTCACTTTACCCTTGATAGAAACAGACAGCCGAGGTTGAAATATCCCTGTTCTACACAGGCCAGCGGATGTGGGCCGATGAATGTATTGTTCTGTTAAATACAGGTGGGCCGACACCAAGTATTTATCTGATACAATCAATGGGCCCATGGTGTGTGGTATAGTAGATAAGTGTAGACATTCTATTGACTTTGGTAGATAGTGTATGGTAGGTATTGTATGAAATATGTACCTGATATGAACGGGTCGGCCGGTCGGGAGTGTGTATCTGATACCAACGGGTCGGCCGGTCAAAGAGTGTAGTATGTAGTGTAGTAGATAAGTGTAGACTTTTCTATTAACCTTGACAGGTAGTGTAAACAGTATGTACCTGATTTGAACGGGTGGGCCGAATGGGCAGTTGTGCCGATATGTACAGATGGGCCGAGGTGGTATAGATCATGCCCCGGACCCCCTCGGTAAAAAGATGCTCGGTAACATAGCCCCTCGGTCAAAAGATGCTCGGTGACATACCCCCTCGGTAAAAAGATGCTCGGTGGTATATCAAGAATATGTCGGTCAGTCAACATGTTGAGATTGAGTACATATCATCCGCAACATACTTGCAAAGTCAAATCACAGTGAAATCGGTCGGTCGGTCAGATCACAGTCGGTCAAGACAATCGGTCAACATACAATCGGTAAAAATACACTCGGTGACAAAATACATTTGGTCTTGCAAAGTGAAATCACCAGTCGGTGAAATCGGTCGGTCGGTCAGATCACAGTCGGTCAAGACAATCGGTCAACATACAATCGGTAAAAATACACTCGGTGACAAAATACATTCGGTCTTGCAAAGTGAAATCACCAGTCGGTGAAATCGGTCGGTCGGTCAGATCACAGTCGGTCAAAAGACAATCGGTAAAAATACAATCGGT